GTCCCACCCGCCCACTGACGCGGCCAACTCATGGACTCCAGAACCGACCGCTCGATCGCATTCAGGTGGAGAGCGATGGGGCCAGTCACCTGCCTGGAGGAGCTCTGCTGGGATCCCATCACATCCTACACCCCTGTTCTTCGCATGCCTCTGGGGGCGCCTCGTAGGCGGCCTCCGGGGAGATGGTCAGACCTGGGGGCCGCCGCCAACAAAAACTTAAGTGTTCATTCTTGGCGGCTCTCTGGCATGGAACAACGATGTCGGTCAACTTCTTGACGTCCGCTTTGACACCCTCACTACAGTGCTGCAGCCGCGCAAGATCACGGTCGGCAGGCGAAGCAGATGACACGCCCGAGTCCATTCGAACACCCGCGTGCCCACGCACTCCGCCCTTCGACAGCATGCGCACGATCTTACATGTGCTGGCAAACTTTCCATTGAGGGCCTCCGTGCCCAGCTCAGTCGCATGCTCTTATAATATGATTTTGCGGGCTATGTTGCGCAATGGTTTGGTCAGATCTCTCATGACACGCTGACTATGTGCGGCGCGTGCTAATGCACGACGCATGGCCAGCATATTGACATGCCTCTGCTGCTAGTCCACCGCGGCCTGCCACGCATGTCGACATGCCGATGCACGTGGGCACGGGGCATGCGTCAGGACCAATAGCACTTGAAATACCAGACGCGTCCGCGGGAGACGCCGCGGCTGAAAAAGATCGTGGACGTGCCGGCGGAGGGGGGCGTTCCACCGCAGGACAGTCCAAGTGCGATCCCAGATCCACGGTTTTGTGGGAGTATCATTCTTGCCTCCGAATGCTTCGGATGCCGCTAGACGCCCATGCGCGTTGAAATGTTCAACTTTCTCGGTCGGGCCATGGCCTTCCAACTGGCGGCCCCGCGCCATGGCCCCGAATGTCTTCCGGCGCGCCGGGTCGTCCAGCTGGCGACGATCAAATCGAGAAGGGAAATGAGAGATGCTTCCTCAATGACTGCAGGCTGCATACCCTGATGAGGTACAGCGCGTACAACACACTCAGCAAGTACAACGCGATAGTCCGCACTCTGGTCGAATGTGAGATCCAAGTCCTCTGACGCCTGAGCCGCCGCTGCTGATGAGTACTCGCCGCGCAAGATACAGATGTAGTCCAACCTGGAAGGCTTACCGCAAGATGGTTTCCATGCCCACTCACCCGCTTGAAAGGCACTGATGGCCAGCATGCGCTGCGACTCAAGCGCGGCCCGCAGGGGGGCGCCAGTGGCGTTTTCACAATCCGCTCCCACCTGTCCGAAGGCACATGGCTTCACTGAGCCCACTCTGGCATTGCTATCCACGGTGATGACCACATACGACGTAGGAAATCGGCATCGCCACTTGGTAATCGACTCCTGCAGTAGAGACCCGAACTGTTGCCGCTGCTCGGCTGAAGTGTGCGAATGAGGTGCATATTGAAACTGAGCCTCAAGTCAGGCCACTTTCGACATCAAGGTAGCGCCCGCCACCTTCATGTAGCTAGCCATCTCCTGCTTCGGGCAAAGCGCGCGCATAGTGCCCGTGGCGCACGGCACCCTGGCGGGGGGCGAAACGTCTAGCTCGCCAAAGGCGGTGGACTACCCGCCTGAAAAACTGCGGCAGCCTCGGGCCCATCGGACCCAGAAGCTGGGGCACGCGTGCCCCGCAGCCTCCGACGCTGCGCGGCCTGCTCGTCGGCCTCCATGGGTTCGTCGCCCGCGACAGCTGGCGTGAGCTGAGCGTTGGCCTCGGACGCGATCTGCTGGAGCCCTGCCAGCAGCGCCATGATTTGCTTCTCCGCCTCCTGCAGGGTCTTCTGCGGGACCACTGGAGACGACTTCATGTCGGCGATGACCCTGGACAAGCTTTGGGTGGAGGCCTCCAGCGCGTTCGGAGCGTTGACGGCGAGCGCCTTCAACTCGAGCTCCTGCAGCTCCTTCTTCCTGGCCTCTGCGTCCGCATCGGCCTGACGGAACTCCTCCTGAACCTTAACGCCTTCTTGCTGTCGAAGAGGCGCTTGTCGGTTCGCTCCACTGCCGACCTGCACGAGACCAGTTCGCTGCTGAGCGGCTCCAAGAGGGTGGCGCTGCGATTGGCCTCCTGGATCTGACGCTGCCGGAGGTCGCGCGTGGCTTGGAACTCCTCGCCAGGCGGTAGCGCCGCCAAGAAGGTCTCGAGGCTCTCGATCTTCACGCCGCTGTCGATGTTGGGGGTCGGGCCCGCTGCAGAGTACGAGGTGGTCGGGCCAACTGCCGAGTCCAAGGATGAGGTTCTCTGCGCCCACGGGGGAATCACCTCGGCCTTGTCTGACTGCACCACCTGGGCCCATGTCTTCTTCAAGCCACATCCTTTGCATTTTTTCGCAACAACTTGGTTCCACGCATGGCAGCCTTCGGAATGGCACTGCCACTGCTGCTCCTCCTGCCACCTGAGCTTCTGCGACGACCACCACGTCATCTGAACAGATGTCGGCGATCAGCCGGGAGAGTAGCAGTGCGGAGCGTAAGTTTACTTTCTGGCTCAGAGGCCCCCTGGCCATCTTGAGCCAAAATGGCTACGGACCTCCTCCTCCTCCTCCTCCTGCTCCTCCTCCTCCTCCTCTCCTCCTCCCTCCTCCTCCTCATCCTCCTCTCTAAGGGGGGGGGGGGGGGGCTGCCGCTGGCCCACGTGTGCGGTTGGGTCAAGGCCAAGGCCGCACTGTGGAGGCAAAAAGGGTCCTCTCCGAAGGGACCCCCACTCGGGGTTGTCTGCTGGACCATCGGACCTCTCCCTCCTCTCCCTCAGTGGCGTGCGATGCTCCCTGCTCCCTCGTCCTCCCGTTGCTCGCCCCCCGTTGCCCCTCCTCTCTTTCTCCCTGCTGCTGCTGCTCCTCCCTCTCCAGATGCTCGTCTCTGGATGGGCGGGCGGGAATGCGTGAAGAGTCCACAGCCGCAAAAGGGAAACGCGGTGCTCGTGATGGTCGGGGCCTTGGAGCGAGGCAGAGGCGCTCTCCTTTCTGCCGCCTCGAGCGCGCCTCGAACTGTGGCCGCGCAGCACGCACGAGGCTCAGCAACAGGCACGTGACGAATTCGGCTCGGGCTCGCCTCCTCGCGCTTTGACAGGCCTGTTTTCCACCACCGCCGCCATAAGTTGGAGGGGGAAGGAGGTGGAGGAGGAGGAGGAGGAGGAGGAGGACGAGGAGGAGGAGGAGGAGGACGAGAAGGAGGAGGACGAGGATAAGGAGGAGGAGGTGGAGGTGGAGGAGGAGGAGGACCCCTCCCCCTCCAACTTATGGTGGTGGTCGTGGAAAACAGGCCCATCACGCTTCTATGTGCGAGAGGTGGGGCGCTCGAGCGCGCAGAGTGCTGCAAGCGGCATGCGCCGTGGTCGAATCTGGACGAGCCGGGCCAAGCCATGCGCACCTGGGAGCCCCAAGCAGGAGCTCGACTCCATCTCTCGCCGCCCCCCCAGGACGCTATACTTGCGCGGGCGGCGAGGGAAGGGAGGGGAAGGGAAGGGAGGGGGGAGGAGGAGGAGAAGGAGGAGGAGGAGGAGGAGGAGGGGAGGAGGAGGAGTAGGAGGAGAGGGAGGAGGAGGAGCGAGGGAGGAGGAGGAGGAGCGAGGGAGAGGAGGAGCGAGGGAGGAGGAGCGAGGAGGGAGGAGGAGGAGGAGGAGGAGACGAGGGAGGAGGAGGAGGAGGAGGAGGAGGGGAGGAGGAGGAGGACGGAGGGGAGGGGGGAGGGAGGCAGGGACGGATCGGGGAGACGTAAGACTCGACTTTGGGAGACTCGTTCTGCCGCATCCGCGGGGGACCTGGTCTGCCCACTCTCAGCCCGATCCGCGTCGAATCAGAGTCGAATCCATGTGGGACTCGTCGGGTCCGTGTCGAATCCGTGTCGAATCCGCGACGAATCCACGCCACGTCCGCGTCGAGTCCGCATCAAACCCACGTCGGGCAGACAGACGAGGTCCCCCGAAGATGCAGAGGGGAACCATCCCCCTCCCCTCCCTTTCTTGGGGGGGAGGGGCCCAGATGTGTCAGAGGGTCCGTTGTCGGCCCCTGTGAGTGTCATTTTTTGATACCCCTCACGAGGATAGGACCCCCTCTTTTGACCGACCGCCTGCAAGATGGCCCCCAGAGGCCGCCCCCAGGGACCCCAAGAGGCTCCCAAGAGGGCTCCAAGAGCGCCCCAAGAGGCCCCGAGAGGCCTCTAAGAGGCACCCGAGAGTCACCCAGGAGGCTCCTGAGCGGCCTCACAGAGCCCAAGATGACCTCCAAGATGGCTCAAGATAGCCCAAGCTGGCTCAAGATGGCTTTCAAGATGTTCCAAGAGGCCCCAAGATCCTCCTCCTCCTCCTCCTCCTCCTCCTCCTCGTTCTCATCCCCCCGCTCGTCCTCGTCCTCCTCCTCCTCCTCCTTCTCCTCCCCCTCCCATTCCTCCTCCTCCTCCTCCTCCTCCTCCTCACTCTGTTTGTTCCGTCTTCCTTATCCTCGTCCCTCCTTCTCTTCGTCTTGCTCCTTTTGCCTCCTCCCCTCCTCCCTCCTCCTCCTCCTCCCCCTCTCTCCCCCCCTCCTCCTCCTCCTCCTCCTCTTCCTCCTCCTCCTTTCCCCCCCCCCCACGCGGGCCTGGAGATGGCCCCAACTCGCCGTCCAGGCCGGCCTCCCTCGCTGCTTGACTATGCGCATCTCTTCCTCTCTCCCCTCCGTCAGCTCTTATGGGCATCGCTTTTGGATGGGCTGGTGGGGATACGCAGAGCGTCAAGAATTTTGACTCGAACTCCCGCTGCAGACATGAAGAACACTGGACTGCGAAGAGTCGTGCCAAGACCGCCAAGAAGCGTCCCCTGGAAGGAGAAAGGGAACCCCCGAGTGCCTAGATGGAAGTTCGCGGCCCCCTCTCCGATGCATCGGCGAGGGCGAGGGGGGGAGGATGGCGAGGGGTCTGACCCTGGACACGGATCCAACTTCCACCGAGGAGCATCAGCGAGGCGCGGCCCGCGTCTTGCATCACATCAGCGGCTGGATCACCCCGAACGTCTCCATGCTGGTGACCTTCGCGTCTCTCGCCCTGTTTCAGTCATCGAGCACTGCATGCCTAAGATGATCCAGCAAGGCGGCAGTGCTACAAACTCGATGCGCCTGGTCCGCGGAAAATGCCAGCTACGAAACCCAAGAGAAGGAGGAGTAGGAAGAAGAGGAGGAGGAGGATGAGGAGGACGGAGGAAGCGGCCTTCTTGTCTCGCTCTGCGCGGCCAGTCCAGCAGTGGAAAGCCCATCGATCTGGCTGCCCGAGAAGATCGCATCTCGGGGACGAGCCTGGGCACCGGGTTCGCCCAAGGCGGCTCGGGAGGAGAAGCCAGCCCAGGAGAAGGGATCGAGGGCCCTATAGAGGGGGCCAGCGACCCGAACAAAAACGATGTTCGTCGGAGGCATCGGGAGCTGCGCCCAGACGTCGGTAGAACTGCACCACACCTGCGGCTATGCCCACACCATCCAGCGAGGAGGGACGACAAGGGGTAAGTGGCTCAGGGGGGAAGCATCGAGCTTGAATCGGCGATATATACAATATATATATATATATATATACAACTATAGATTGCATATATGTGTGTATACATACATATATATATATATATATATATATATATGCAAGACTGCATTGGCGCTTCGCGCCATGCACCTTGGTCCTCCAGGCTTTGCTTATGTTGGTCGTTCGCGCCATCCCTAGTGGACTTGGAAAAGTTTGCCCCTTCCCTGCGGTGGTTTTCGGAACTCTCCGAACAGTCCGGCGATCCGTGGTCGTTCCCGGGCCTGCGGGGGCTCCCGAAAGGCGCCGGGGGGAGGGCGAAGGATAGGAGGGAGGGAATCTCGGGGAGGGAGGAGATGGAAGCGGATGTGGGGGAGGACGAGAGCTGGAGCGGCAGAACGAGGAGGAGGAGGAGGAAATGGAGGACCCAGAGAGGAGCAGGAGGGAAAGAGATGGCGCCGTCGGGGGAAGACGAAGAATTCCGGTTGCGCGGCACCGAGGGATGATGGGGAATGGCAAGCCTCGCGAATAAATGCCAAGCAACCCGACGCAATGTCAAGCAATGCCGCAAAATACAAAGCAATGCCAAGCCGAGGATGTCATGTTGCAGCGGGTCGCAACGGGGCACGCGAAAGTTAGCAATTCCTGGGGGATACACCGAATCCCGGGCTCGCAACAGATTTCCGGGAAATGTGGTTGCGAACCCAGGGTTCGAATCAGTTTGGTGGGTCAGAACGCCGTGGGGGCCTTGTTCGAGCCTTGGTGGGACGGCTCGGGGCCCTCTCGAGCCGTCCTGGGGCCATCTTGGGCAGTGTTGGGGAGTTTGGGCCCTCTAGGGACCTTACGGGGGCTACGTGGGCCTTCCTGGTGGCCTCCCATGGCATTTTTGGGGGCCTCCCATAGCCTTCTTGGGCTTCTCTTGGGGGCCTTGTGAGGGCCTGTTGGGCATCTTTTTGGCCCATTTGGGGCTTCCTTGGGCAATCTTGGGGCCATCCAGGCCGTCTAGAGGCTCTCTTGGGGGTCTCTTGGGCCGTTTTGGGCCTATACCGGAGGCCTGTTTGGCTGTTTGGGATGCTGCTAAGACCCGAACAGAGAATATGCTGAAAATGTACGTTCCCCGAAAGGAATGAAGCGATTTCTGCGTTCTGGGAGTACTGTTCAGGGCCTCCTGGGCCGTCTTGGGGGCCTCTGCAGGCCATCTGGGTCCTTCTTGGAGCGCTCTTGTGCTGTCTTGGGTCTCTCTTCGTTCTCTCTGATCACCGCTCTGATCGCTTGGGGTCTGATGGCAAGTCCCGACTAAACGCCCTGGGAGGTCTGGGACGAGCCAAAAGACCTTTGGCAAGGGTGTCCGAAGGGCCCGGAACCCCTCGATTCCTGGGGGTCCTGTGTTGGTGGAGGAGAGCTTTCCCACCCCCGCGGCTGGTTAAGCATATAGGAAGAGGATAATATATACATATCTATGTATATATATATAAATATATACATGTATGTGGATGCACACACACATATATATAGAGAGAGATATCAATGTATATATATATATATACATATATATATGTATATGCGTTTATGTTCTATTCCTAAATGTTTATTACCCAGACCCCTCCCCCACCCCCGCTTCAGGGACGCCCCGGGCGCCCTTTCAGACGTCTCTGCGGCCTCCTGGACGACCTTGGAAAAGGTCCGCCGGCCCTCTGGGCCTCCCTGCAGGGCGCCTTGCCAGGCCTTGCGAGCAGATTCAAGGCGATTAGAGGGGTCATCGGAAAGGCGCACGAGAGACCCAAGACAGCACAAGAGCGCTCCAAGAGGAACCTCGATGGTCTGAAGACGGCCCACGAGGCCCCCAAGACGCCCCAAGAGGCCATTAAGAGAGCCCCGAAGAAGCAAAAATCGTCCAACCCCTTAAGGAAAATGTATACTCTTAGCATCTCCGCTTTTTGGGTCTTCGCAGCGTCCAAGACGGCCCGATGGGCCCCCGATATCGCCCCAAGACGGCCCCCAACAGGGTTCGAAGACTTCCCAAGAGGGCCCCAAGACTGCCCCAGAGAGCCCCGAGACTGGCCACAAGAAGCCCAAGATGCCCCCAGAAGGCTCCCAAGAGAGACCCACGAAAACCATAGGAGACCCCCAAGAAGGCCATTGGAGGCCCCCATGCAGGCCCTAGATGGCTTCAGAAGACCTCTGGAGGGTCCCAGCTCCCCAAGACGGTTCAAGAAGACCCCAGGACGGCCCAAGATGGCCCCAAGACACCCTCCGAAGCATTCCAAGTCGTGAACCAGTCGTTCAGGGAGATCGCGGTTGGAGGCAGGGTGGCCCGAAGAAGCCCCCCGAGGGCCCCAGAAGACGCCCAGGAGGACTCCAGCTGAAAAACTTCTGTGGGGCCCCCAAAGGCTCTCCAAGGAGGAGCCTCCGCAAAAAGAGCTGTGGAGGATGGGGTGAATACGCAAGGCAGGGCGAGAATGAGGAAAAAGAAACATGGAGGAAGGACAACGGATGACATTATTATAGCGGCGATGGGGGAAAAGGCAACAAGCAGTTATCGCTTAATTGTCGGTTTCACCTTCTTGCTATTCCGCCTGCATACCAAACTTTAAAGGACCAAGGTGCATGGCGCGAAGCACCAATGCAGTCTTGTATATATATATATACATAGATGTATCTGATAGATCGGCGATCGGCCACCGATCGCAAAACTGCACATTCCTCGGCGGGGTGGGCTATCGGGTCCCCATCGGCGATGAATTGGCGACTGGGGGGTCGATGCATCCCCCCCTGAGCCCATCCCCCCCGAACATTACCCCTGATGTCTGCCACACACACACACACACCAACTGCCCCGCTACAAGCCGTCCGTCCCGTAGCCGAAACGGGGACGCTGCTGGGCGAACTGTGCACAAGCAGGCGGGAGGCAGGAGAGGGCGGCCGCTCGTACAACTCACACGCTACCTGTTCTCAGATCTGAGCTGTCGCCGCACGCACATGCTCGTAAGAACTGTCCCCTGGAGCTCGCCGGCCCAACGGCCAGGGGCGGTGCTGTTGGACCTGGCCTGCGCGGGGACAGAAAGCACATCTCCCACTCGAGATGGCGCGACATCGCTGGCTTTTTGTCCTGTCCTGGAGCCTTCTTGTCGCCCTCTTGGGGCTATCTGGAGGCTTTCTTGGTGCGCGCTTGGGCTATCTCAGGGCCATGTTGGAGTCACTGGGGGCCAGTTGGGGCCCCTCGGGGTCTGGGGCATTAGTGGGGGTGTATGGAGAAGATCTTGGGGTGGTATCAGGCCGTCTTGCAGCCGCTTTGCGGCCATCTTGGAGGCCAGCCAGGGCCCATCTTGGACCACCTTGAATGCGGCTTGGGCTGTCCTTTGGGGCACTGGTGGGCTTCTTCAGCTCTCCCGGAAGCCTCTGGGGCCCGTCTCGAAGCGGAAAAATGGAGAGCGCAACACATGAGCGAAAACTTCAGAAGGATTCTGACGATTTTCGTATCTCGGGAGGGGCCCTGCGCAGAATCCAGTTAGAGCCTCTTGGGGCCATCTTGGAGCCATCTTGGGGCGTATCATCCCGTCTTGGAGACTTGTCTGACCGTCTTGGACGCCTCCTTGAGCCCTCTGAGCCCATCCTGGTGGCCTCCTGGCGCCCTCATGTGCCCTCTTGAGCCCTCTGGAGGCCTCTCGGACCGGTCACAGAAACAACCACACCTGGCCGAACACGGGCGAGTGTTCCACATTGGCCCGCAACTGCGATCCCCCTCGCCTTCCCCCTGATTGACCGCTCCCCTCCACCAACGGATCGCACGCCTGGGCGGCCGCTGGACAACCCCCCCGCGCTCGCCCTGAGGAATCGCTGCGCTCAGCCCAGTGGCCGCGCGCAGAGCGCACCTCCCGTCATCCCGCATCCTGCACTCAGGTGCGTCAGGTAATGCCGCCGTGCGCTTCGTCCACTTCGCGGGGCGCAAGGCCGCCCCGGGGGGGCCCGCTGACGAAACTGGAAGCGAGTTCAGGCCAGGAGCAGGCGGCGGCGTGGGGGGGGGGTCGTCCTCGAATGCTGCCCCGAGATGGGCACAGGAGGCTCCAAGACGGCTGCGGGGAGCCTGCGACCCCAGAGGGGAATTTCAAGAGGCCTGGCCGCATGCGTACGCTTCTGCTTCTCAGCCAGATAGGTCGCCCAGAACTGGCGAAGCACGCTGTGGGCACTCATCGCGTCCACGTGCACGTCAAGGCCCGCGTTGAACGACTCTCCAGGTCTGAAAGACTGGTAGTGGACCACGCATCGCCCAAAAGAGCAGCATCAGGCCCCCAAGGAGCACCACCCCATGGGGGGTGCCCAAGACGGCCTCGAAAAGGCCCTGGAAGCCCCGAAGCTCACGGACCGGCCTAAGAGGCTCCCGATATGGTCCAAGACGTCCCCCCCCAAAGGTCGCCAGACCCCCCACAGGTCCCGAAAATGGCCCAACAAATCCTCAACCACAAGTGTCTTCAAAAATGGCTCCTCTGGCGCCCAAATATTCTTACACCTGATGTCTTAGCGTGCTCCTGGGAGTGTCCAGGCATGCGCGTGTCGACACCTGGACCTAGAACAACCTCTCATGAGGAGACGTGCGATGCTACTTCCCCTGGTGAAGCAACAGTGACTGCCGCACTCTGGCCTCGACGTGTAAGCAAAGTGCGACCAGTCCTGGTGCAAAGAAGATGCGGCGTGGATGTTTGACCAATATGCATCTGGCAAGAAGCCCAGAGTCTGGCGAGCAAGGACGGTCAACAGCGGAGCGATCAGAGACCTCTTCACACAACATCGGGTGACAACGAGCGGGCCTGCGACGCGAGCGCAAGCTTGCCATGACCCAAGCGGTCCTGCCGGAAACGGACCCCGCGACACGCTATACCCTGCCAGCGGATAGCGTGTCGCTCCGCTCCGCGGGGTGGGAGGCTTCGAAAAGCTCGGGAGGTTGACGCTTGGGGGCCGGGAAGTGAATAGCGTGTCGCGCCGAGGCGGGGTGGGCCAGAACCGGCGGCGTGACACGCTGAGCCATAGTTCCTGACCGCAGACCCTTCGTTCTAGTCCCTGGGCCCAGAAAGATCAGCGAAAGACCGAACATGGCGAAACAGAACAGGAGTCATGTCCCGCACTACCACCTTGGCCGATGGCGACGGTTTCAAGAGCCTGCTTGGGTGTGATAAGCCCGGGGCCAGCAAGTAGGCCACGTAGACGAGGATGAGGAGGGCACCGTGGCACTTCATCAGCGCGAATGCGGGCGGCAACAGCGCAAGAAGCAGCAACAGCGCCAAAGTGCCAACCTTTCGCGTTGCCAATGGAAGAGCACGAACCATGAGGAATGCTACACACGCACACACAATACATGTCACCCCCTCCACCACGAAAGGAGGACGATGAGGAGGCAGAGAAGGCAGCGGGGACGACGACGAACAGGAGGCGGAGGCAGAGCAGGAGAACGAGCGGGGGACAGCATTCACGAAAAAGTTGAACCCCATGCTGTCTGTCGGACGGCTGCTCACCTGTGGCGGCTCATCAAGCACCACTTCGGGAGGGGGGAAGGGTCATCGAGGCAGGGGAGGGGAAGGAAGGGACATCCAAAAGTCAGCATCCGCGCGGAGCCTGCCATCACTGTCAGGGCAGAAGTGCGTAGGCGCTGGGTGCCCAATGTTGTTTGGGCCTCCCGCATGAACGATTCGCATCCCAAACTCTGGGGCGCCCCAGAATTAGGATGGCAGGTAAGCTTGCGCACTGGGTGATCCTCTTAGGGCGCAGCAATTCTAGAGCTTCTTTTGCCATGAGAACAGGTGTTCCCTCAAATCATGCTCTCCCGTCAGCTCCGACACGCTGCGGTTCGATACCCTTAAGACGTAGGCGCACGAGATGCGGTTTATCTTCCGATGGCATTGCGGATCCTTTCGAAGGCATTGCGAATGGAGGGCAATCATCCCATCATTGTCGGCATTAGGAGCCCAAACTGATCATTGCAAATGGAACGCAGTCATCCTATCCTTGTCTGCCGTGGGAGCCCGAATTATTTACAAGAAGTTTCGGCACCAGGATTCCTCGATGCAGCGATAGAAAGGTGTGTGCGTGTGGGTGTGCGTGTGGGTGCGGGTGTGCGTGTGGGTGCGGGTGTGGGTGTAAGTGTGCGGGTGCGTGTGTTTGTGTGTGTGCCTGCTCTGTCATCCCGTGGGGGCTGCCATCTGGCCCTTTCCTCGGGGCGCTTCGCAGGTCTCCCGATCTCGGCTCCCTGGACACAGCTTTTTTTCGTTTCTGCCTCCAGATCCGCTGGGCCTCCCCCCGGGCGCTCGCCTCCGGCTGGTGCCCCTGCACCCCACCCCCAGCTGCTGCCCCGCCGCCGCTGGTCCTATCGGCTACACGCAAGAGTGACCCTGGGTAAGAGTGACCTTTGGTGCGCGGCTTTTTGGGGGCCGCGGGGAGACCAAACCTGGGCGCGCAAGCCGCTGCGACCGCTTCGTTTTCAGCCATCTGAGGGCCCATCTGTGCCCGCACCAAAGGTCACTCCGGCGAAAGGTCACTCTTACGTCTAGTCAATCCTACCCCGGGCGCCCCCCCCCGCTGCCGGCCCCCTCTGGGCCCGGCTCCTCGCTCCCTCTTGCCCGCGCCGGGCCCTCCCTCCCCCCGCGCATCGCGGCTTAGCTCGCGGTTCGTGCATTCCACGTCCGCCCGGCCGCCAGCGCAGTGACTCTGTCTTAGCTGCCGACGCAAAAAAGGCGCATGTGCGTGCGTGTGTGCGTGTGTGCGTGTGTTGCGTGTGTGCGTGTGTTGCGTGTGTGTGCGTGTGTGCGTGTGTGCGTGTGTTGCGAATGTGCGTGTGTGCGTGCGTGCGTGAGTGCGTGTGTGCGTGTGTGCGTGTGTGCGTGTGCAGGTGCGCGTCTGTGTGTGTGTGTGGGTGCGTGTGCGTGTGTGTGTGTGTGTGTGCGTGTGTGCGTGTGTGTGTGTGTGTGTGTGTTTGTGTGTGTGTGTGCGTGTGTACGTATGTACGTGTTTGTGTGTGTGTGTGCGAGTGTGCGGGTGTGCGTGTGCGCGTGTGCGAGTGTGCGTGTGTGCGAGTGTGCGAGTGTGCGGGTGTGCGTGTGTGCGTGGGCGCGTGTGCGTGAGTGCGTGAGTGCGTGAGTACGTGTATGTCTGTGTGTCTGTGTGCGTGTGTGCGTGTGCGTGTGTGCGTGTACGCGTGTGCGTGTGTGCGTCTGTGTGTGTGCCTGTGCGTGTGCGCGTGTGTTCGTGTGTGTGTGCGTGTTTGCGTGTGTGCATGTGTGTGTGTGCTTGTGTGTGCGTGCGTGCGTGCGTGCGTGCGCGTGCGTGCGTGCGTGCGTGGATGCGTGCGTGAGCGAGTATGTGTGTGTGCGGATGTGTGCGGATGTGTGCGTGTTTGCGTGTGTGCGTGCGTGCGTGCGTGTGTATCTGTGTGTCTCCGTGTGTGTGTGTGTGTCTGTATGTAGGTGTCTGTATGTCTGTGTGGCTGTGCGTCTGTGTGCCTGTGTGTCGGTTTGTCTGTGTTTCTGTGTGCCTGTGTGTCTGTGTCTGTGTGTTTGACCGTATGTGTCTGTGTGTGTCTGTGTGTGCCTGTGTGTGTGTGTTTGTGTGTGTGTGTCTGAGTATGTCTGTGTGTTTGTGTCTGTGCCTAGGTGTGTCTGTTTGTGCTTATGTAAATGTACCTGTGCGTGTCTACGTGTGTCTCTGTGTGTGTCTGTGTGTGCCTGTGTGTGTCTGTGTGTGTCGGTGTGTGTGTGTGTGTACGCGTGTGCGTGTGCGTGTGCGTGTGTGTGTGTGTGGGTGTGTGTGTGTGTGTGTGCGCCTGTCTGTGTGTGTATGTGCTTCGGCAGGCCCTGCTAAATCGTACAGCTGTCTCAACCCAGACGCCCTCTGCTATGGAGTGGGCAAATGGCTGTAATCCCTGTGATCCTTAGCCGTTGGGGCCTGGACGGAGGCAGAGCAGCGTCCCCACTCCTTGCCTGATTGTTGCGGTCGGGGCTTTCCTGGAGACCTCTTGGACGGTCGTAGGAGGCCAGTGAGGGCGAGAATGACGAAGCACGACGAACTGGATGGTACCTCGCGCAGCGGTCAGCGCCCAGACCTGCAATCGCGCCGACACGGCTGCCGCAGCACACCCTTCGTCACTCCACCGCCCCCCGCCCCCACCCCTTCCCACCTCTCCTCCTCTTCCTCCTCCTCCTCCTCCTCCTCCTCCTCCTCCTCCTCCTCCTCATCATCATCATCGTCATCATCATCATCCCTTTTCCTTCTCCCCTCTCCTCTCCCCCCCTCTCCATCCTCCTCATCCTCCTGTTCTGGCGTATGTTGATGGTGCTACGCAGACGCAACAGGGGACGCATAATAAAATCATATCTACGCTCGTGTCTGCCTCCGTTCATGTGTGCCACTAGCCTGACCAAGCTGGCACCGTCATTGCCGACAAAAAACGCGTGTACCTGCTCCGATGCGGCATTGGGGGGGCCTCACTAACCACTTTTTCTGTGGTTGAAGTGTCCCATCAAGGTGGCCAGTACTGTGCACGATCTGGGCGGCGTGACCACGGCTGGTAGGAGACGTTTCACGACCAAGCTGAGGCAAAGGCCCACTTTGGCCCAACAAGAGGCCAAGACAGTTGTCGTGTCGTCCAAACTGTTGGGCTGATCTTATAGGCTCCACAAACCTGCTGTGATGGTTGTGGGGCCCTGGGGCCATGAGGTGATCGGCTTGACGCCTGGCCAGATCCAGACTATGCCAGGCCAAGCGGCCACGTTATCTGGACGGTGGGTCAGTAGGGCCTGCACGACCACGGTTTGGGGGCTTCCAAGCTCAGTCGAGGATGACCACTAGTTTACGAACAGCTGTATGACCCTGGTTATGTTGGGAATGGGTTGGATCATAAACGAAGGCTCATGATTAGTCGCAATTAGACTGGGAGACAGGGGGATCGTAATAGACACAGGCCTCGCTGGCAGGTTGTACGAGGGCCGATTGCGGCCACTATTGCGCCGATGGGTCTCCACTGAAACGCAGTCTCCCCAATGTGTTGGGGCAGCTGCAGTATACGTGCTCCAACGTGTCGTGGCAGCAACCTGCAGGCCACTACTTAGGAAACGGAGCTCAGGGAGGGATCGAGTTTACGGTGGTGAAGAGGCTGTTGAAAAAGCTTAGCATGGATGGGGAGATGGAGGCGGCTGGTACTACCAGACATGTCCTTACGGCGGGCCTCTGGACGGAAGACCGACGGGTCCAAGCTGGCTGCCTTTCGCTGACGAGCGGACCCTGCCCTCGGTGCAGCGCCTCAGCCGAGACAGCCCGGCATCGGTTTTGGAGATGCGAGTGTCATCAGCAGATTCCCGATCTGCTCGTGGAGTGAACCGACCGCCTGGCCGAGCGAGTGCACGCCGAGACTTCCAGATGTTGCCCCTGGCACCGCGGCCTCCCGCTCGCTGACGCGTGTGGTCACCTGCCTGATCCGCAGGATGTGGCGATGGAGTGGGGCTGGTGGGGGAGAGGACAAAAGATCGACGAAGGCACTTGGGGAATCGACGGATTGCGGGGGAATCATTCGAAGGGATACCGCCTGCGTAGGTGCGGCTGGTCTGTTGTTGTTCGGTTATGTACGTTCGATGCTGTACTGTGCGGCCTGATGCCTACTACCCGACAGCCCTCCCCTCGTGCAGAACTGCTTTCCCGGTTCCAATTGGTGCTGAACGCGGGACATTGTCGTGTCTATTGTGAACGCCTGATGGTAATCAAGGGTGCTCGCAAGTCCCTCAAGGCCGAGTCTAAGTCTAGCATGCTGGATCTGAGGGCTCTCTGTCACACGGCCTTGTGGGCTCGATGAAGCGCCTTAATTTTGTCAAGGACTAGAGGACATCCCACCCAGGCCCAACGCCAAACTATGTTTTTCTCGACTGCCAGGCTGTCATTGAACACTGCAGACGCTCAGGCTGCGGAAGCTGTTGCTGCTCGTGTGCAGGCTTCCGACGCTGATGTTTCTCGGACGCACCTGGCCGATGCTTTGGCTAGCAGCTTTTTGGAACGGATGCTTGCTGTGCAGTGTGGGATTATATGTCGTCTGAGAGCGTGCGGGGTGAAAAGGTGCCCCGTCGTGAAGAACCAACGCGCAACCCCGTGGCCGACCTGCGTCATCCATCCCACCACCTCGAGGCGTCCTAGTTTAACAGGGTTGTAGAGTTGTTGTACGGTGGCAACCACGCGTACTGCAAGGAGTATGCCAGAGGCCCTCCCAAGCAGGGCATAAGGTGCTGTCGCGCCTCAGGAAGGGACTGTCTTTGGAGCGTGGCACCTGATTCGGAAATCTGGGGTGAAGGTGATATGATATGCGGCCAGCACAGCAGCTGGACCCCGCGTTTCATAGAACAGAAAAAAACCTATATAATACTCCGCATCGCCATCCCTCTCCCACTTCCCCTTGCCTCCCCCCGCCCATCCCGTCCCGCTTCCCGCCTGTGATATTCCCCTCCCCCAGCCGAAACGACGGCAAGGATTTTGCTGGCACCCGAGGCCCCCGCCATCCAGACGACGCCCTCGTTGATACCCGCCACGTGCTGCGCCGGTCTGTATCTCTCCGCCAGAGGCGCAGCCGTACCGTACCCCCCCCTCCGATCCACCTCTCCTGCTGCCCTCCCTCGCGGATGGGAGGGGGAGGGGAAGAAAAGGCGAAGGGGAGGGAGGCAGTGATGGGAGAGAGAGAGAGAGAGAGAGGAGCACGAAGACAGAGAGGAGGGGAGATGAAGGGGAGCGAGCGGTAGAGGAAGGGAGAGGGAGATGGATAGACAGACACTGACAGAAAGAGAGAGAGAGAGAGCGGGGGAAAAAATATAAAGAGAGATGTATATATATAGAGAGAGAGAGAGAGAAAGAGAGAGGCAACACAGGAGAGAGGGAAGACTGGGGTGGGGAGACAGGGGGGAAGATCAGAACTGTAACTAACTCAATCGAGATCAACGCTCATCGAAGCTGGACACTTCTAATCCGCCGTCGCGCCGTAGGCACTCAATGAAAGGAGCGCCCCCAGGTCCCTTCGAGGTCTCCTTCAGGGCCCCAGGCACCAAACTCACGGATTGTCCAGGGGCTTCTTGCGTGACTTCTCGAGCCTTTCGCGTGACTCTTTTTGGATCGCAACAGGGCTTCTTTCCCAGAGGCCTCGGGGACGTAGCTTGGAACATGCGCTTCTAACATAGCTCCCGGATCCCATGCGAAATCCATTTTGGAGGGATCGTGGGGTAGCCCTCGGGGCCTGTCCGAGATGCCAAACCTGTCAACATCCGTGAAGTGCTTGTGCAATTTCGCGCGCTCGCCTCGTCTGCCCTGAGAGCGCAAGAGACGGCCCCGGAGGCTCCCGAGATCGCCCGACAGCGGCCCAAGAGGAGCCCGAGGCCCAAGGGGCCCCCAAGACAACCCCACGAGGGGCCCAAGAGGGGAACTCGACCTGACACTCGGAGCCCAAGATGCCCCCAAGAGATCCCCAGAGGCCCCCGACAGGCCCCCAAGTTGCCCTACGAGGGCCCACAGACACTCCAAGAGGCCCGAGAGCCGCCTCCCAAGAGACCCCAAGAAACCTCTCCCAGAGACCTCTGATCCATGACTGAGGCACGGTGGCGGTGGTGGGATGGGCCAGGCGCGCTAGATACTTGGATATCTGAACGTCGGCGCTGCACAGAAACCAGGACGACCCGCCCTGGATTGGCGTGGCTCGGCCTGGAGCTGCACCGAAAGCGGGGTCCAGCAGCGCAGGATGCGGCAAGATCCTGCCTGATCCAGCGGCCTGCCCCTACCCCGCTCTTCCTCCCTCCTCCTCCTCCTCCTCCTCCTCCTCCTCCTCCTCCTCCTCCTCCTCCTCCTCCTCCTCCTCCTCCTCCTCCCTCCTCCTCCTCCTGATCACACCCGCAGCCGTGCCTCTGGGCACGGGCCGAGGGCAGCCCAGCGGCCTCTCGGGCGCACCCTCGGCGGATCCGCGGCCGGGGCGCGGCGCGGGCCTCTGGGCACGGGCCGCGCATCCTCGGCGGATCCGCGGCCGGGGCGCGGCGCGGGCAGCTCGTGCACCAGGGCGGCGCCGCACGCGCCGGCGGGCGCGTGGGGGGGCCGCGCCTCGGCCACCGCGCCCGGGCCTCGCCCGTGCGGCCGCTGGCGGACGCGGCGAGCGGGCACGGGCTCTGCGACAGCGAGTGCAAGTCGGCTTCGCCAGGAGGAGACCGCCCCGGCCACCCAAGAGGAGGAAGGCGGAGCTCGAGAGAGGGACCCTGGCGGCGCTGTGGCTCCAAGCAGGCCTTCCTGCTTGCCGTGAGCGATGCCGCGCTGCTCCTGGCGAATGCTCAGCACGGCATGGAGCGCACAGGTCCTTAATGGAAGGGGTCCTGCAGTGTCTGTGTGGGAGAGAAGATAGGAACGGACAACCTGCCTCAGCAGCCACCGTCGTGCCGAGAATGCCAGCCAGACCGAAAGCTGGGTTTAAACACATCTTGGTGAGATAGATAATGCAAGATTCATCAGCTTCCCTTGAGCCCTGCATGGGAGGGGTCCAGGTGAATTTCCCGGTTTCGGGACGCTGGGGGCCCACCACGGGCCCCGGGACCGTCGCAGAATGACGCGGGATGGAACACTGGTCTGAGGTCGGGCGTGCCCACCTACGGGCGGATTTTGGACGAAAAATTGAACATTGTCAAGAAATACCGGACTCTTTTCGAATCGTCCGGAAAGGGAAGGACCCCAGGGGATTCTGGACCCACGGGAGCGGCAGGTGGGACGGGTCCAGTCCACTGGGTAACCATGGACTGGCGGGGCGCTGGAGTTTCCTGTCGATGGGGCGTCCCCCGTCCAACGGCAGACTGCTCTGAGTCCGAGCAAGAGGTGAGGACATTTTAAGGCGTCACGGTTGCGTGTCGAGAAGGAGGGGCTCTGTGTGGATGAGCCGAGTGCAGTAGCCTCATGCTCGACCTCAAACGTGGACGTTCACATAAACGGCTGCATCAAGAAGTACGAAGAGGGACGCACCTTCGTGGAACGCACGATATTCGGCGGACCCCGCTCGGTAGGGAGCGACATGGATGAAGAGGTCGAGGACGAGTTCGAGCCTTGCCTTTCTGAGCTCAGGGGATGTTAACACTCGCGCTCGTTGGACAAAGTCACGATGCTGAAGGTGAAGATCACCGCCAGCACCAAGAACTGCACACGGGGGCCCAGGCCTCGCCTACACCCGTGATCCGTGTCCGTCGGCAGCGGAGCCGCTACCGTGTGCGATGCCAGCACATTCATCGGCAAGAACCACCTCGCGAGGGCGCGCACGAAGCGCAAGTATTCCGACAACTTCCGATGCAGTCTTCAAGGATAAGGAGGCATTTGTCTATCGCGACGCGGCCCTCGTGCTGGTCTGCAACGTGCTGGCGGGGGGGGGGGGTGTATGTGTGTGCATAGGTTGCTCTCCTCATCATCGGCTGCCACCCTCTACCTCGTCCTCATGCGTTTCCTCCCTCCCTCCCTCCTCCTATACACCTCCAGTTATGCGAGAGAGCGTGATCCACGGCCGCATACTGTGGAAACTTCCCCCCCCTTCTTCCGGAACCCAGGGGTCCCCCACCCCCTCTCCGAAAATCCCCCCTGCTGGACCCCCTCCCTCCCCTCCCCCCAACCCCCACCCCCCAACCTAACCCCCCCCCCCCCCTCCCCATCGAAAACCGGGGGGGTCACTACCAGTTCGAACCCCCCCCCCACCTCTGGAAAACCGGGGTGGGGTCACTACCGGCTCGAACCCCTCCCACCCCCCCCAATCTATCATGAAAAGGGGGGGGGGTCACTCCCGGTTCGAACCCTTCCCCCCCTTCACCGCCAGCAAACGACTCCCGGTCCCTACCACCGTCCGCACCACATCCCCCACTGTTGTTCCCAGCACCACTGTCCTCACCACCACTGTCCCCACTGGTTCCGCCGTCGTCCTTACTGTCTCCGCCAGTGCCCCCAACACTGTCGCACTGTCCCCACTGTCCCCACCACTGTTCCCACCACGGTTCCACTCTCCCCACTTCTCCACGGCCCCAACCACTGCCCGACTATCCCCACTGTCCCCACTGTCCCACTGACTCCTCCGCTGTCCCACTGAGCTGTCCCACTGTTCCCACCACTGTCCCCACTGTCCCCACCACTGTCCCCACTGTACCTCTGTCCCATTGTCCCACCGCCGTCCTCGCCACCGCCTTCACCACTGTCCCCACCACCACTGTACCCTCCACTGTCCCACTGTTTCCACCACATTCCCACTGTCCCCACACCACTGTCCCCACCACCACCGTCCCACCACTGTCCACTGTCCCCACTGTTCCCACCATTATCCTCACCACTGTCCCCACCACTACCGTCCCCACCACTGTCCCACTGTCCCACTGTCCCCCACTGTCCCGCTGTCCCCTCACCACTGACCCCACCACACCGTCCCCACCACTGTCCGCACCCCCACCCGGTTTTCGGGGGGGGGGGGGGTCGAACCGTAGTGACCCCCCCCCGGTTTTCGGGGGGGGGGTTCGAACCGGTAGTGACCCCCCCCCCCCTTTTCATGATGGACTGGGGGGGGGGGGTGGGGCTCGAACCGGTAGTGACCCCCCCCCCGGTTTTCCCCGGAGGGGGGGGAGGGGTGGGGGGGGGAAGTTCGAACCAGTAGTGACCCCCTCCGGTTTTCCGCCAGCAGCGGTAGAACACGCTCTTTCAGTTTTATCCTTCTCCACCGCCCTCTTCCTCCGTCCTCCCCGATGTGCCTCCCCTGCACACACCCCTAATCCTGCTCGCCCTGGTTCTACTCTGTATCCATCCTCTTCCTCATGTTCCCCGTCCTCCTGGTCCTCGTCCTCTACCACCTCCTCCTCCTTCTCCTCCTCCTCCTTCTCCTCCTCCTCCTCCTCCTCCTCCCCCTTCTCCTCCGTCCCGTCCCCTCCTGCTCCTCGTCCTTTTCCTCCTCTGGGTCCTCCCCCTCCCCACCATCCCAGGAAGATTCGTAATACCAGGGGACAGGGCACGACAAGGGTAGATGCCCGAACGCTGAGCACAGGGCGCGGTATCTAGGGCTCCCAACTTCACGCTTCGCGCTACGCGAAGCGCGAATGACTTCGCGCTCTCGCGCCGCCCCCCCAAAGGGAGAAGAGGAGGGCGAGGAGGAGGGGGAGAAGGAACGAGGACCGCGAAGCGCGAATAACTTCGCGCCCTCGTGGGAGCCCTTGAGGGTAGATGCCTGAACGCTGAGCACAGGGTGCGGCATGGTACCACCGGGCGAGGGGTGGAAAGGAAGCCACAGTCCTGCGTGATGGGCCCGAAGCTGAGCTGCTGCGCGGAGAAGATCGCCTCCGCAAGGAGGGGTGGCGCGTTGCGGCGCAAGGACGACAAAAGCCGCACAAGGCCCCTTACGGTGAGACGAGAGCAGAGGAAGGTGGGAATATGAAGAGGAAGAGAGAGAGAGAGGGAAAGAGTGACACCCACCGAGACGGGGAGGGAGTGAGAGAGCGAGAGGAGAAAGAGAAAGAGAAAGAGGAAGAGATAGAGATAGTGTGAGAGGGAGTCTGGGAGGGAGGAAGAGAGAGAGAGGGAGAGACAGAGACAGAGAGAGAGAGAACTAATACATAGAGAGAGAGAGAGAAACAAACAACGAGAGCGAGAGAGAGAGAGAGCGAGAGAGAAAGAGAGAGAGAGCGAGAGAGAGAGAGAGAGAGAAACAAAAAAAACGTAAGACGAAACAACGGGCAGGGGAAGGAAGGACCGTTTCCTGACCTGGTACAAGGGGGCAGCAATTGCGCGGGTGGCGGCATGGACACCCAACCGAGGCCTGGGGCGGAGCAGGACAGGATGCAAAAGGCACCCGCGCAGCGGCGCCCTCAAGATTCCCATAGCAGCCCAAATCCCCCTCCTCCTCCCCGCTACCATCTACACTGGCACGATGGACCGGGGTCCTGGCGTCCTGGAGACCCCGAGCTTTTCCGTGGGATCAACTTTTTGACCCGATCCTTCTGTTGATGGTTCCAGGGCCCGGTTTTTGGGGAGAGCGCGGGTGGACAACAAGAAGAAAATGCCATGGAGCTTCCTGATTCCTCACACGCGTTGCCTGCATGTTCACATCGCGATGACGTGCGTGTTGGTTTCTGACACCGCGTGGTTCGTTCAACCCTTCGGGTCGGGCGAAAGGGGGGGATAGCAAAGGGGGGGTTTGAGAATCAGCTCACGTAGCTGATTTTCCAGGCGCCTCCCGGCGCCGGAGGCGGCTATGTATCGAGGAATGGGCCCCTTGGTGAGGCCGAAACCAGCTGCATGCAGCAAATTTCGTAACCCCCCCTTTCCCAATCCCCCCCTTTCGCCCGACCCGAACCCTGAACGGCCACGGAGCTCCGACGGCGCAAATCGTTCGACATCGGCCGGAGCCAGGCTGTCAACGCCCGCGCGGGGGTCGCCGCGACGTTATGGCGGCGCGAGCTTACACCCTGCGAAATGCTTAAGAAATCATGGGTTAAGAAATTCGTAGTCTCAGAACTTGACTAAAAACCCAGAATGTCTATTCAAATCTTAGGATTCACATTGAAACATTAAGAATAATCGAGACTCTGGCCGAAAACTTGGGTTTTCTTAAGCATCGTGTAGAGTGTACTGCAGAGGGGGGGGTCTCGTACAGCTCCTTGCGAGAAAATGCGACTCCTAGATGATCAGACGCTGGCCAGCGGGAGCAGGCCCACGCTCACCCAGCTAGCGTCGGCCAACCGACCTGACAGCGAGAACCTCGGCCCTGCTCCTAGTTTCGCTGAGTCGTGTTGTTTGCGTCTGTTGGCCGCCACCTTGTGCACGCTGGGGCGTGTTAGAATGCTCCTCTGCTGTATGGCAAAATGTCTTTCGTATTTTCTAGGACAGGTCCGATCCCCTACTCGCGCGCGGCCTTGCAAAATCGCCGGCCCAGGGGGTGTTTTTTCGGCACTCTGATTGGCCTCGACACAGCGCCAAGACTAATCCAAGATGGCCACATGATACCTCCAAGCTGGCCCAACATGCATCGAAGACAGCCCCATATTGCCCCAAGACGGCCCACGAGGCCCCCATACCGCCCAAGATGGCTCCAAGAAGCCTACCAAAGCCCGTAGACGCCAAACTTGCTGATTCTCCGAATGTTGCCAATGCTTTTTAAAACTCCCACCTTCTCGCGCTTCTGACAATCCAAGACGGTCCCAGAGGTCTCCAATACTTGCAGAGCAGGCGCCAAGACGGCCCAGGAAGCCCCCAAGACAGCCCCAAGCTGGCCCCAAGGCGGTCGAAGAGATCTCCATGACGGCCCGAAAGCGTCTCAAGAGGGCCGAAGGACAACAGAGGTCACAAGACGGCCTCCGAAGGCGTCAGACGCGCCAAGACGGCCCTAAAATTGTCCAAGAGACCCCCGATACAGCCCAAGAGGGCTCCAAGAGGCCTTCCAAAGCTCGAACTAACACAATCATTGATTTCGCGCATGGAACCCTGTGTTTCTCGCTCCCGCCGCACTTTCGACAACCCAAGACGGACCAAGAGACCTCCATGACGGCCCGAAAGCACCCAAAGAGGACCACAGGAAGGCCCAGAGAGGCCCCCAGAACGGGCTCCGAAGGCGTCAGACGGGCCAAGAGAGCCCTAGTACACATAGGCATAGGGCCCTCAGAGGCCCTCAAGAGTCGAGGGAACGAAGTCGAGATTAAGAGCCACTCGAATTCGGACCGCGCGCTGAGCTGCAGCGGGTCCCGCAACCAAACCTCGTTCACGCCGCGCTGCTGCGATGGCGCGGCAGCGGCACGCTGGCGCCTGCGGCAGCTGGACACGACCGCGCCTGCGCTTCGGCCATTGCCGGGCCAGGAGTCACACCCACGTTCAAGCGCGGCCGTGGACTCACCAGGCAACCCACAAAAGAAGTACGCGCCCAACCGCGTACATGAGCAAGGCCCCCCAAATCCGCGAGACCAGCCGCGTGATACGAACGTTCGCGCAATGCGTACTCTCGAAACCCGCGTAGATTCATGTATGTGTACGTCCTTCTTTCGCTGCTGACTCACGGCCGCGCGCGCGCGTCGGGGATCTTCTGACCAGGGTCAATCCAGACCCGGGTCAGGCAGGCCTTGCAGAATCCTGCAAGATCCTGCAAAATCCTGCACCCAAACTCGGGTCAGTGCGAAGGATCCTGCAGGAGCCTGCACCCAACCCAGGTCAATGCGACCCTGGCCCTGCAAGATCCTGCAAGATCCGGCGCTCTGGCTGACCCCCGTTTGCATTGACCCCCATCTCTTGAGCCCCGAGCGTGGGCCCTGCTGCGCGCACCAGCCGCGCACACCCTCTGCACAAGCCGTGCACGCGCGCGTGCGGGCTGCGACCAGGGTCGCTCTACCAGCCGGGTTCTGGACGGCACTCCGTCTCAGGCGCGGGCAGCAGCAGCCGGGGCGCGGCAGAGCCCAGCGGCGCACCCAATCTGCAGCAGGGAAAGAAGAGAGCGGCCGCGAAGGCAGCGATCCGCTCTGGCAGCGCGCTCGCTGCCCCAGCCGCTGCCTCGCGGCCTCACTGGGGAGACCAAGAGGCACCGATGCCACTACTCCCCAGACCTCTCCCGGGGTGCGTCCTGGCCAGAATCTGGAGGCGACTCCAGCGGTGGCGACGAGGGCCCCCGAGGAGGCCCAGCATAGGCGAAAACGAAGGCAGGGTCGCGGAATGTGTGCCCTGTCCTCCGCCGACTCACACTCGATGAGGGTGGGAACTCGATGACCGTGACAAAGACGGAACGCGGAGACGTCGGTGCCAATCTTGGTCACCGCTCATCTTGGTTACCGTCGATACGAGGATCACCCTCGCGAATCGGCGACGGCCAGCATGGACCATGACACAGATCGGCGTCGACAAGGTCCTGCGACTTCGTGACGATGGTCAGCGTGTTTCTTCCCTCGACTCTGCCCCTGCGGAGATCGCTCGCCCAGGGCAACGCCATGGCAAGGAATACGTTCTGGACGTTGGAGCCCAGAGCGTTGGCGATGGCGGCAGCCGGCTGCTCCTGCTGCGCCATTATGACAGAGGCGACCTCCGGGGCGTTCCGCTCAACCTCTTGGTCCTGTTCTACTCAGGGGCAATGTCATCGGGGAGCAGCTCAAGTGGGGAGACATCAAACTGCAATCGGCGATGCCTCGCCGGTAGACCGGCAGTAGACCCCAGATATCGAGCCCGCACGTTCCTGGGCGGGAGTGGGCTACCGGTCCGCTCACCAGCTTTGAATGTGCGATTGAGGTTCGACGCGTCCTCCCCTGAGCCTATCCCACCCCTAACGGTACCCCCGATCCACCACCTTCTCCACCGCCCCATCCTCATCCTCGCTCTGGCCTGCCACCTCGACCGTCCTCCACTCTTCGCTCAGGTAGGGCGTTGGGGCTAACGCTCTGGGCAGAAACTGACGGAGACGCGAGACGCGCACACCCAAACGAGCAACTGGCCAAGCACGTGCCGTGTCCATGTGGGGGCTGAGCGCGCATATCGGCGATGAGTCTTCTCCTCCTCCTCCTCCTCCTCCTCCTTCTCGTTATCCTCCTCCTCCTCCTCCTCCTCCTCCTCCTCCTCCTCCTCCTCCTCCTCCTCCTCCTCCTCCTCCTCCCCCCCTTCCTTTTCCACCTCCTCGTTCCCTCCTCCTGCAACATCCCGAAGAGGAGCACCGAGGTGCGCTCATGTTCACACCTTCTTCCCCTCCTCCCTATCCTCCTCCTCCTCCTCCTCCTCCTCCTCCTCCTCCCCCTCCTCCTCCTGTTCCTCCGCCATCACTTTCCCTACACGTAACTCCTCCATGTCGCATCCCCACCAGGTTTGTAGGGTGGGCTGAGCATTTCGCTTGAGACTCCCTCGCCATTCATGATCCTGAAAAGTTCGCAAATGATGTTCCCAAGGGCGCGGATGCTACAAATGAGCCTGGAAACGCGCCCAAAACAGAACGTTTCTGGATTTTCCCAAATGAACCAAAAACTCAACCATTCCCGGAAATGGGTCGGAAAAATGACATACGGCACCCCTCTTTCCAAAATACGTGTAGGCGTTTACCAACAATGGGCGGTTTCGTCGGCTTGGCCAGAGACAACCCGCGAAAAAATACCCACGGCACCCCTGCCCGAAAATTGTTCGTTTTGGCGGAGCATTGTTTGCAGCCGTGCCCCCAAGACTATCGTTCCTGAAACTTGGAATCTGCAAATGTTTCACGGATGGAGGGCGGGTGGCTTTTAACACGTGTCTCTCGCCAGAGCGCCGCGCACAGCTGCATTAAACGTTTACAACAGTTTCACGGGTGGAGGGCGGGTGTGTTTCAGAATGTGGCTCTCGCCGAAGCGGCGCGCACATTCGTCTTCGAAGTGCGAAACAACGTCGCGGATAGATGGCATGTGGTTTTCATAATGAGAATATCGCCTTAGCGCCGCGCCCATGCGTCGCAAAACATTGAACAGCCTCAACGATGGATCACAAGACCTTTTCCAAAATATGATATATGGCTCTCGCGCTAGCGCCGCGCGCAAGTGTCTTGAACATTTGCAATGACTTCGTGGATGTAGGGCGGGCAGGTATCAAAATGAAACTCTAGCATTAGCACCGCGCACATGTGTCTGAAAAGTTTGAAGCAGCTCTAAAGGCGAAGGGCAGGTCATGTTCAACATGTGGCTGTCGCCCTAGCGCCGCGCGCATGCTCTGCAAACTCCCGCCAGCCCTTTGAGCAAAGGTGACCTAAGGAATTCTTTCGTTCCTCTTCCAGAAGGCCTCTTCCCTCCGGGAAAGGGTACCCTCCGCCTCCCATCCTGAAGTTGTGTGGGGCGGGCAGCCCAGGGGTCAGCGCGTCCAAGATGCCCCCCGCGAGGAGGCCAAATTCATTGGTTGTACCAAGGTGTGTTGGGCCCATGTTGGCATCCCGGGAAGGGGTGTGTGGGTGGGCAAACGTTAGGGCCCCCCCTTTTTGATCGATGCCAAGATGGCCCCCAAAGGCCCCCCCCCAGGGCTGCCAAGGGACCCGCAGTAGGGCGCCCAAAAAACCCGAAGACCCCCCAAAAGAGCCCCAAAAGGACACCAGGATCCCACAAATGAGTCCCGAGAGGGTTCCAAGAGGCAATTGTGAGGGCTCTGTCCTCGCCCTCGTTGTCCTCCTCCTCCTCCTCGTCCTCGTCTCCTCGTTTTCCTTTTCCTGTTCCTACTCTTCCTCGTAATCATTGTGGTGGCCATAATATTGTTATTATTATTATTATTCCTCCTCCTCCTCCTCCTGCTCCAGTCCTCCTCCTCCTTTCCTCGCCCCTCGGTGGGCGCCAGGCATGGCCCGAAGAGGCCCTACAAGGCCACCCCCTTGCTTCAGAGATCTGTGGGTTCACCTTGGTTGCCCGCTTTTTTTCACTACATGTGTCTCTTCGTCCATTTTCCCGTCAACTCTCATGGGCAGGGTTTCTGAACGGGCTGGCTGGGAAACGCGAAGCGTGAAGAATGGCAACATCTTCAGGAATGGAGGGCGGCTCCTTTTCAAACCGTAGCCCTCGCCTAACGCGCCAACAATAGAACTGTAGAAAGGCTGCTATGGTTCTGTGTGGGTGGTGCTCAGGCAAGGTTTGAGATTGCCGGGATGCAGCAGTCACGTTGGCTCGTTGTGTTGAAGTCCTAGGTCTTGTTATTTTCCTTCCACGATGCAGAAGTGTCAGGACGCAACAGTTCATAACGCAACAGTCATCTTGATTCGCGGCGCTGACGTACCAGGAATTGTGTTTTGGCACGACTGGGGATTCTCAGACTGTTGTCTTCCGATTGGGCACTTCCTGCCATGAAAACAGATTGTTGCAGGAGTCTGTGAGGAGGAAACTTGGAGGGCGGATGTAGTGCAACGTCGTTGACGCGGCTTAGGTTTACGCTGGTCCCCCTCCTCGTTCTCCTCGTTCTCCTCCTCCTCCTCCTCCTCCTCCTCCTTTCCTCGTGTCGATGTCAAACATGATGCTCCTTCTTTCTGTCCGCCCTCCGCCGCCACGTTAGGTTGCATCCTCGGGGGGACCTTGTCTGTCCTGTCGCGGCCCTATCCGCGTCGAATCCGCGTCGAACTCATGCAGGATTCGTCGGGTCCGTGTCGAATCCGAGTCGAATCCGCACCAAAATCCGCGTCGAGCCCGCGCCAAAGCCGCGCCGAGTCCGCGCTGGGTTCAAGAAAAGACAACAACTTTGGGAACAGGCGAGGTCCCCTCGGTCACACGCGGGAGCGACCCTGGGCAAGCGTGACCTCTGGTGCGCGGACGAGGGGGGCGCCACGTGGCCAAACCCGCGCGCGGAAGCAGCCACGACACATCACGTCGCGCTCGGCGATCGGAGGGACCCCGATGAGCCCGCACCAAAGGCCACTCCGGCCAAAGGGTCTCTCTCGCGCGTACCGAACCTGTAGGGCGACCGAATCTATACATATCCACTGCTCCCTGGCCAGGCACACCGTGAACCCAGCAGCAGTGTATACGCCACACCCTCCTGGCTGGGCCAGGAGGGCGTATACACAGCTCCTGGGTTCAGAGTGGGCCTGGCCAGGGAGCAGTGGATATGTATAGATTTCGTCACCCGAACCTGCAACGCGACGCCACGCTGCCGTGCCCCTCCCCGCCGGCCACGGCAGGAGGCCGCAGGATCACCCCGCGACCCCGAGGCAGGCGGGCCAAGGCCCCCGGGCGCGGGCGATCGCGGCAGAGACGGCGCCGCGCCCGGAGGCGGCCCTCGGGCTCTGCGAGGCTGCTCTGGGGCGATCCATTCCGGGGCGCACTCGCGGCGCGCCGCGCCCTCGCCCTCTCTCTCCCTCCCTGTCTCGCTCTCTCTCTCTCTCTCTCTTTCTTTCTTTCTTTCTCTCTCTCTCTCTCTTTATTATTTGTTTGTTGTCTCTCTCTCTCTCTCTCTCTTTATTCATGAATTTCCTTATTGTGATTGTTCTTACATGTCGCGGACGAGAAAGAGGGAGGGAAAGAGAGAGAGAGAGAGAGAGAGCGAGAGAAAGCGAAAAGGAGAGAAGGAGGAAGGGGAGGGACGGGGAGAGGGAGAGGCAGAGGGGGGGGGGCACGAGACAGAGGGGGGAATATAAAGGCACATATACACACACTCGCAAGGACCGAAGGATTATGCGCGCTGGTTGGCATGATGGTCATGTTCGAACGAGACAGGTATTCACCTTGGCCGAGCTAGCAGAGAGTTGCATGAATGCTCCTTCCATCAACTGTGTCTCTTAAGCCTGCCTGCCCCCAGTCCCACCCCCCTCAAGGCGACCGCATTTGGGAAGGATGTCCCCACAGCGCAGACCGTGATTCCCAGGAAGCTAATGGGAATGGACGGTATGTGGTAGTTGATCCTGTTGCAGGTCTCCTGCGCAAGAGATAAAAAGGCTTCGGACAGCGGCTGGGCCAACGAGTGTCAAGAAGAAAGGGGATAAGAAAATGAGAGAGATAAGGTCAGATCGGGCGTGTCCCCCTACGGGGGGAATTTTGGGCGAAAAATTTAAACCATCAGAAAAATGCCCATAAGTAATCGAACTCTCGTCCCCAGACCACTCTGTTTCACTATCTTTGAAAATCCCACCAGCCATTTAGGGCGTCGGTGGTTTAACGAGTTTCCTCTTCCACCCCTCCTTCTTCCCCTTCGGGGAGGGGTTTACCCCTCCCCCTACCCCCTCCCCACTGACCTGGACAGGAGGGACGGGGAGCGGTCAGAGCGTCCAAAACGGCCTCGCCGAGGAAGCCAACATTATTGATAGATGTCACTAAGGTTTTAGCCCCATTTTGGCCTTCTGAGGGGGCAACGCTAATTAAGGCTCCCCTCTTCTTTGAAGCCAGAATCATTGATTTTATCAAGGTTTTGGCCCCATTTTGGCCTTCTGAAGGGGCAGCGCTAATTAAAGCTCCCCTCTTATTTGAAGCCAAAATCATTGATTTTACTAAGGTTTTGGCCCTAGTTTGGCCTTCTGAGGGGGCAGCGCTAATTAAAGCTCCCCTCTTCTTTGATCGATTTCCTCCAAGATGGCCCTAGGAGGCACCAAGAGGCCCCAAGATGGCCCCAAGATGGCCCCAAGAGGCCCCCAGGAGGCCCCCAAGAGGATCCCAAACGGCCCAAAGAGGCCCCCCCGAGGCACCCAAGACGCCGAAAAGCCCCTCAGGACGACCCTCTACTCGCCTGGGCGTCGTTTCTGGACGGGCTGGTGGGGATACTTTTTTTCTACAGCCGCAGGCGGAAGCGCCGGCGGCGAACAGTCACGGTCGGGCTGCGGCCGTGACGAATTCCCGGGCGCGCGCGGGGGCCGCGGATCAGGCGGCGGGGCAAGCAGCAACCCCTGGCGTCTGAGAGGCCAGGCGGTCGTGCAAGCTGCAACCCAGGGAGTCTGAGGGGTCAGTCACCCAGGAAGCAAAGCGGACGCGGCCAAAATGGCGCGCCGTACGTTCCCAGTCATGGTCGTGACAACCGACAACCGCATGGTGGTGAGAACCAGACTCCGTGCGAGAAAGTCAGCCCAGGGAGCCTGTCGGGTATGAGCAGACCGAAAGAGTAGCTGACGTCGTCCAGCAAGGAGGGGGATTCTGACAGCGCCAGCGAACCGTCGCAGCTTCAGAAAACGCATCCGCGGCTGATAGGGTGAGCCTGAGGTCAAAGACAACTGAGACAACCTCACAACAACTGCTGAGAGATGCGCCTGCACGCAGGAGACCAGAGGTTGGTGTGCCGCAGTGCAGAAGTACACGGGTACCCACCAACAGAGGGACACACGGTCAATCGAAAGTTGGCGTGTACCAAACGACTAAGTGACAGCGAGCGCCTCGCAACCCAAGCAACGCCAGGCCGAGGAAAGCGCTCGAAGAGGAAGAAACTGCCGTATACCCACGTCAGCAAGCCCTTCACGGTCACAGAGTCCCAGGGAGGGCTGGTGGGGATACGCGAAGCGTCTAGAATTCAAAATGTAGAGGGACAGGCACGACTTAAATATAAGGAGAGAGAAAGGGAGAGACCCGACAAGTATTCTAGCTGAGCGTGTGTCCTCCCTAGCCACCGCCATGCCCGACACGCCTGGGGGAGGCAAGTGTAGCCATGGCCCTAGGGGCCACCAGACCCTGTTGGCCAAGAACGGTAAGGGTGCCCTCCGAAAGGCCAGGAAGAATATGTTCTATTTCGTTGTGTCCAGCAATCGGTCGAGCCATGCTAGATTCCACTCTGCCGACTTTGGAGTTGAATTCAAATAAGGACAGGCAGCTGCATCCAAACATGCCAGTGCCCCGCCGATGGGTCCTGATTTCGCTGTCAAGAGGTCTGTGCGTCGGGTCTCTACCTTTGCCCATTGCCAGGGTCAACGCTGTGTTGAATACAGGCCAGTCAGACAAATTAGATGATGACCTTGCCAATCAATCTATTGCTGTACAAGTTGCTCGGGGCCACGCCCAGAGTTTCCAGGTGAGTCTCAGGAAGACCAGTGGTCACCTTCCCTGCCCCCTCCGTGCCATCCCTCCCCTCCCTCTCCCTCCCCTCCCCCTCCTCCTCCTCTCCAGCGTTCGGCAGCGGTCCTGTCTCGGACAGCCGCCAATCGTGCGGAAGCCCTCAGAAGGAGGAGGGAGCGTGCATCAGAAGCTCGTAGGCTGCCCATTCAGGCCATCAACCTTCGGGCGGCCACAAGAAATCCAGCCTCGAGCGGCCAGAGATCAGACACCGTGTGACTTGCACAGATGGTTCCAAGTTGCCTCTGTATTTATATGAGTGTCTTGGGGGGTGGAATAGATGAGGCGGAGGGTGAGGGAGGGGAGACATTGTTTTCTTCTGTCTTGCCTCCGCCCGTGTCCGCATTTGGGCCATGCTCATCAAGTTCGGCGCCCAAGCGCGCCCCGTTTGTGCCGCTTCGTTGTGGAGAGGTGTAGTTGCAGAAGGTTGTCATCAGGCTACTGGGTACCGTGTCGGTCTGAAACTTCAACAGTCCTGCGCTCTGCTGGGCGTTTGCGCGAGTTGTCATCTTCAGATTTGTTTGAGGCTTGCTTCATGGCCCGTGAACGGGCCTCTGGTCTGCAAGAGATGTGTCTTCCTGCGCACCCCGACAGCAGCTCCCATGTAGAACTGTTTCGCGGACCCTTCCGATCTGAGCCGATCCTCCTGCTCCTCCGCTGTTTCCTCCTCCTCCTCCTCCTCTTCCTCCTCCTCCCCCTCCTCCTCTTCCTCCTCTGCATGGAGCTCCCCTTGCCAGATTGCGCGAAACACGGTGGGGTCTTGTTTGTAGCTCCAGACACGAGTACGCGGATAAAGAAAGAAACGGCGCAATGGGAAGGGAAGAGATGGGAGGGGTGGGATATCGGATAAGGCGTCAGTGCACCTAGCTTGCCCCCCACCCCCCATCTCCCCCCACCTCCTCCCAACCCCCTCCCAATTCCCCTCCTCCCCAGACATCCGACCTCGCGATATTCTCACAATTTGAAACCCCAAGATGCAGGCACGACATAGATTATCCGAATCCACTGCGTCTTGGATGTTCTGAGAAGGGGCGGCAAAAGGCCGAGGTGCACTGGATATGGACAAACATCGAGCCTCTATAGTCTAGTTATAGGGGCCAGGTTTCTATCCAGTGTCCACTGTGCCCCTGGTTTCTCGGGAAGGAGCCCGAAACTCCGAGTCGCACCGGATCTGGATAAGGGGAACAACGCATGGCAGAAACATACAAACTCGAAGGTCCGTACGTATGCCCAAGATCGGCGCTGGACCCCTCCCTGGCGCGCTCCGCGCGCCAGGGGCGGCGCTGGGGGCGCCACCAGGCGGCAGCAGCGCCGATCCGAGGAATCCGCGCGGACTTCCGAGTTGTTATATGTATGTCATTGTTTGTTCCCCAATGGATGCACATCCCGCCCGCCCGCACCCAAAGATCCGATGTACTGATTTTCGGGGTCCCCGGAAGTCTCGACCCTCTTCCCAGGACCAGCGCTTCGTCCTGAGTCGCCTCTTGACGGTCCTGGGGCCCGGCGAGGACCTCGATAGAGGCCGAGAACTACGAAAAACTTCCGTCTTGATCTTTTCGATGCGTTGGACCTCTGGATGCGCATCCTGCAACCGCACCTTGGGACCGGCTCCGATCCCCGCTCCCGTGTGGTAGGGAAAGCGCCCCGCTCCCCGGCCAGGCGCGGGAGAGAAGAGAGCCTGGGCAGAGCCGGCCCCCCTCGCCAGTCCAGCATGAGGAACGAGAAGATGGCCAGCCAGCCCATCGCGCCTCCCGGGGGCAACATTACGGGGGGAGGGGGTACGAAGTTCCGAGGTTCGAGGTTTCAGGGCGTCTTCGTGGACTCGCAACGGCTTTCAAGCTTCGGGGTGCTCTCCGGCAGCTGCGCCTCGCCGAGAGCTCTCCCTGAGTGCCCGAATCGTTCCAAGCGGCCGCCGGGGAGCCGAGCTATGGTCCGCGAACCCCAGGTCAACGTTAGGGGGGGGACGAGCCAAGGGGGGAAGTGAGAAGGGGCGGGCCTTCTCAGAGAGCTCGGAAGGCAACGGGCCTTCTGAGAGGTTTTCGGCGCCCTCCCCGAAAACACGTTGGAAGACTTCTCAGAAGGCCGGGAGGCTTCCGAGAAGCCCCGCCGCCATCTGAGAAGGCATCCTCCTTCTCACTTCCCCCATCGCTCGACGCTGGGTGAGGGGGGACCGGCTCAGGGGGGGCAGCATCGACCTGGAGTCGGCGATACAAAGCCGCTGGGTCCGACAGCGAATCCGCACGCTCTGGGGAGGGGTGGGCGGTCGGGCCCCTGTCGGTGATACTGAGCCTGGCCCCCCCCCCACCCAGCGTTGCCCCCGAGGAAGCTGCACACCAGATCCGCCACGCCTTTTCCAGACGTCCGACGCCTCGGCAGGAAAAAACCTCGTGTAACTCTTCGGCAAGACGAGCTAAGAAGAACTCGGGCGCAGGGAGGAGCTGGTTGGCCGACCCAGCCAGAACGGACAATGTGACAACTCGGGCATGTGTTTTTCAAAAGCGACAAATGCTTCGCACCTGTACAAGGTTGTGAGGCCTGTTCTGTTATAGTTTTGCTTGCGGGACCCCGCATCATGCTTGAACTGAACAATGCATGTTCCATTGTTTTCGGGAGTACCGTACGGACCCAGCCGCAAGAAACCCTCGCAAGAAACCCAGCCCAGAAACCCGCAGGCACGAGATGCAAGGGGGGGTTGGCACAGAGCACCCTGAACGCAGCAGCTCCTCCAACGGCCACGGGAAGCTACCGCGCAGCGCGCGGAGCGAAGAAACCCAGGGCGCCCTGACGAAGCGCATTCGGCTCCTTGATGCGCGCCCCCACTGTCCTCTCGGAAGCTCCGTGATCGAATTCCCTGCCCTTCCAGGTGTGGAGAACACGCCAGAGGGCTCCCATCTGCGGCGAAGCCCCCGACGGTAGCCCTGCTGACGGGTTGCCGCGGGCTCCCAGAATCGGGACTGCCAGCCTCTCCCGGTTCTTGGGCCTTGCCGCGGGCCCAGGGACTGTCAAAAAAACGACTCGGGGCCCTGGGGAAGGGATCGAGAGGCCCCGAGGGGAAGACAGAAGAGAGAAGGAGGAGGAGGAGGAGGAGGAGGAGGAGGAGGAGGAGGAGGAGGAGGAGGAGGAGGAGGAGGAGGAGGAGGGAGGAGGAGGAGGAGGAGGAGGAGGAGGAGGAGGACCGAGGGGGAGGAGAAGGGAGGAGCAGAAGGAGGGAGGCAGGATTAGGAGGAAGGAGGATGAGGCAAACCGTCTCGTCGCGCCTAAAAAACACAGCGGCCATCGGCTTTCTTTCCTGATGTCCTTCACGTCCACCACAGACAACGTGCTCATCAAGCACACGTTAATTATCAATTCAGGAATTGCCAATAACTTCTCCAGGACGCCCGTCTCGTCGAGTTCACGCCCAAGTTCGGGTTCGTCGTCCAGGAACCTGCTGCAGAGACGAGGACACATGACGTGCGCGAAGCGGACGAACGCGAAGCGCACGGTGGGGTCATACCTGCAGCGAATGCCAACTACGGATTGTTGCAACCAACGTCTTGGATGGCTCAAGAAATGGAGGCCACATAATGATGACTGTTTAATCCCTGTCCCACGCATAGCTCTCGCTATCCCGCCCTTCTCTCCCTCCCCGCCTCCCCGCCCCACAACAAATACACAAACCCACCAGCCCTCTGGGCACAGCTGGTTTAACGAGTCTTGCCTTCTCTCTACCAAAATCCATGCTTCCCCTGCTCGGGAATGGGTGCATCACTGTTCACAATCAATGAGCAGCCCCTCTCCCAGGCGACCAGCAGCCAAACAGGACCAATGAGCCCTCCCCCCCACCCCTGTCAAAACACAATGTTAAGTCCACTTTGGGGCAGCATCTCGGGTAATGATCGGGGGGGCCGCGAGCACTTTGTATTGTCTTGGTTGACGCGGACGGCGGGGGTGCCCGCATCTTGCCTACTGCGCGCAGGGCCAGCACCCCTGTCAAAACCTGGATCGTGCGCGAGCGCCCCGCGATCACTGTGCATTGATGTGTGGCTTGGACGGCGGGGGTGCTGGCATATTGCATGCTAGGTGCAGGCCCACCAGACGCTACGATGGCCAACCCGCCGCGATTGCGCACTGGTTTTCGACAACGGTGTTGGAAGCTGACATGTTTCCCGATGTGTACTGCCACTTGCGCAGGCGCACCTGGCACACTCTGCGCGTGCCCCGAACGTGGCGCACCTGGCGTGGCTGGAGCGTGCGGCACACATGGCGCACGTGTATCACGTGGCGCATCTGGCGCACCAGGCGTGCCTGGCACGCTGCGGCCACAGGGGTGCCTGGCGCACCTGGCGTGCGTGGCTCGCCTGGCACGCCTGGCGCACCTAGCCCCGGCGTTGCGCACATGTTGTATGTTTAGGTTCTTGTTAGCTGTCCATCCAAAGACTGCTGCTGAACACGCGGCGGTTCGTGTGTTATTCATGTGATGGGAGGGCGGGTGGGAGTATGCGAGACGGCTTGCGGGCGGGGAGGGTCTTGACCCCTCCTCCCACCCCCTCCCCTGGGCCTGGGAGGGGGGGGGCGCGGATGGTCAGAGCGTGCGAGCGAAGCGAAGCGTCAAGAATGCTCCGTGCAGGTAGCTCCTGGTCGCCAAACTACCAGGCGTGTCGCTGAGGGGCTCCTCCTCCTCCTCCTCCTCCTCCTCCTCCTGAGGGTGACGACGACGACAACGACGGCGGCGGCGGCGATGGCGGTGGTTTCCTTCTCGGCAGCGATTCCGGGGGGAAGTGCGAGGGGGCGGGCCTTCCCGGACGGATCGAAGTCCCCTGGCCGCCTGAGGCGGTTTCTCTGAGCCTTCTCTGAAGACACACAAAGCACTTCTCAGAAGGCCCGAGGGCGTCTGAGAAGAGCCGCCGCCTTCTGAGAAGGCCTCCCCTTTCTGACTTCCCCCTCGCTCGCCGCCGACACGACGGCGACGGCGACGGCGACGACGACGACGACGAAGACGACAACGACCACGACGTCGACAGCGACGACGTCGATGGTTTCCGATTCCTTCTGACTCTGTTTCAACACGTTTCGCTGGCCAGCCCCCTCATGCACGCTGTGGTCGTCCATCCCACTCTTCCGCTCCCCACAATCTCCCGCCCGCTACGACATGGGCGTGGGTGGCTCAGCGGATCCTATCTTCCAACCCCCTTCTTCCACTTCGGGAAGGGGTTTACCCCTCCACCTGCCTCACGCCGCAAGATGCCCCCCATCGCCTACGCCACGCGAAGAGGGTATTAGAATGCCTTTCGGGATGAATGTGCTGACGATTCGAAACCTCTTGTAGTCTCTTCGGCGGGCCTCCTTGGGGGCCCCTCGAAGGTCTCTCGAGAGCCTGACGAGGCCTCCTGGAGGCATCTTGGGGGCCTTGGGGCAATATTACTGCTAACAACTACTGGCATCAACGACCCAAGTCAAATCAAGATGACCCCGGCACGGCACAATAATTCTCTCAGGAGGACCCTGGGGCCCCCAATGCGCTTCAAGACGGCCCCAGCAGGATTCCCAAGCAGGCCCCAAAAGGCACAAACCATAAAATCAGTTTGTCTATATGGTTACGACATGCTCGCCACTTCGATCTCCAGGACGCCCAGGACAATACAAGAGACCACCACGATTGCCCCAAGAAGGCCCAAGGGAGCTCCACGGCGGCCAAAGGGACCCAGACGGCCCGAGCCCCAAAATGGCCCTCAAGAACCGCGAGAGGGACCCAAGACGGCCCGCATCCCCCCCAACGATGGCTCCAAACATTGAACCGTGTCTCAGAAGCCTAGGGCAACCTTGGCCGTCTTGGATGCCATCGTGGACCGTCTTGGAAATCCTCTTGGAGCGACTTGGACCGCTGAGGCGCTGGTCCTGTGGCTGGGGCCGACTGGACAGACTCACCCGCTCTATGACGGGAAGTGCCTCCGCAGCGGTCTGGACTGTGGTTCCCACAGAGGCGTCCAAGATGGCCCCAGATAACTCCAAGTTGGCTCGAGGCTCTAGGCAAGCCAAGATGGCCCCTAACATGGCACAGAAGCAGCACACTTCAACCTGGATAGCCTCAGATATGCTCCCTACAGGCTTCAAGATGGCTGGAGGCAGCCACCGAGTCTCACAAGGATGCCCCCAAGAGGCCAAAACTATTGAGCACACAAGGTTTGTCAATACATTTAGGCGTTTGCCTTCTCGCCTCCGATGGGCTTCTGAGGCACTAAGAGAGAAGGCCTCCAGAAGGGCCCGTAAGGGCCCGAAGGCCCCGAAGAGCACTCCAAGAACGCCACAAGATGGCGCCAAAAGAGGGACGCGAATCCAAGTCCTTCCGTTTTGATTTGGTGGCCTTCTGGACGGCCCCCTGAAGGCCCGAACAAGCCCTCAATGGGGCCCCCGAGAGAGCCCCAAGAGAGCATCACAACCTGTCGACATGCAATCAACAAAAACATCAAACACGCTAACATGGATCAAAGAAGCTCGCAGATGACTGTAAGCTCACCATGGTTGTCCTCTTCGTTTTTCAAACTGCTTCCCTACCCCCCCTCTCCCACCCCCTCTCCCACAACTCAACTGGACATCGTTTCTGGTTGGGCCGGTGTGGATACGCGAAGCTCCAATAATGACACTTATTCCCCGAGGCAGCTGAGAGCTCGGGCCGCACACGACATGCTACCATGAAAAAGATGAGCGCGTTTCAAACAGGACGCGGTACTTGTGCACCCAAAGTCTCTTCAGGGAATGGTCTTTTATCTTCTCTAGCAGATCGTGTCGTTCTGCCGAGGTCGCACACTTCAGCCTTAGAGTCACGTGCTGCATCATGTGAGGTCGAAACTCGAGCTCCATGATGCCCTCTGAGAGAACAATCCGACAAGCCCCAACACGGGGCATGCAGAGCAGAACATACGACGTGGGAGTTCCATGCTACGCCCGCAGAGAACGTGTTCTGAACAATAGCCGGAAGCGCCAGATGTGTAGGACTAGTACGTCGTGGTAGAGCACGTTGGAACACCATCGGCTACTTTTTAGGTATATCCGCGCTCATATGTGGTGATTGATACAGTCGAGATGCCTCAGCAAAGAGCCACACGCCTCTGCACACTTGGCTTACTCGCCTTGAGCTGGCATCGCCTCCGTTGCTTTCCCTTGTGCTGCCATCGTGTGCCTGGCCCGGCCGTGCACTCTGCATCCTTATCCACCATCGCTGCGACTTGCATTACCCTGCATCCGCCCTTGCCTATGCTGGACAGGGCTGACTGGTATCGCCGTGCCTCGTATGGCCTGCGCTGGATCAGCGTCACCACGCCGTTCTGAGTTCATGACACGCTCAAACATGAATTCCACATCACGCAGGTCAGTGCAAGGCTAAAGATAGAGGAATGACCATGGTAGGTTGTCAAACGCGTGGGCGGTCGTGTAGGCTTGACAAGCCACATGGGGATCAACACAGCTTACACTATGCAACCTCTAAAACACGTCTCCACACACCAGCATATCGAACATGTAGAACACACGTGCGTTCCCGCACCCCCCAAGTACACGAGCGAGAAATAGCATACCTGTTCCACATGGCGATGCTCGCCTGAATACTGCACATGCAATGTGCGCCACGTCTCCTTGACATACTAAGCAAGCGCGCAAAACAGCAAACCCGAACTGACGATCTCGCAATTGGACATAAACCCGAGTCCAGGAGCTGAGCCTGACCTTCTCATTTGCGGTTTCCACCTCTCAGCAGCACAGCGCAGACTTGAGCAACTGAGCGCGCCCAGTGCAGGGCAAGATGAGCGGAGCCTATGAAAGGAGGTCGCTCGACTCAGGCGTGATGGCAATCGGATCACACTCTCTTGACCTGCGCGTCGTCGCTATGCAACCAAAGCCTCCCAAACACTGATTCGAATCGGTGCCCTGAAGGAACTGAAGCCAAAGGAAACGTGACTTCCACGACCAGCTGCAAGCGTGTTGGTGCAACGTTCGCGGGCGGAGCACGCAGAGAGCTGTAGTGTTTGCGCATGGGTTGATATTCCCAAGCACCCGACATCATGATTTCTTCACACAGGTGGATCCCCAGAGGTCTCGACCCTGTCCCCAGGAGCGGCTCTTCATCCTCAGTCGTCTTCTGACTGCCCCTTGGCCCGTAAGGGCCACCCAAAGGCCGAAAATTGTGAACAAACTATCCGTCGTGACTTTTCGACGACGCGAAGAGGTGGGTGTTTCAGGGCCGCGGATCCTCTGGCGGACCCGACGTCCAGTTCAGCCGCAGACCGCCAGTGTGGCCCCACGGTTAAGGCGCAGCCTTCATGGACAACCTCCTGGAGGTCCTTGTACAGCAGCGTATGCCCCCGCAGCAGACCCTGCTCCAAATCGCCCAGCTGCGGGCCGTTCGAATGCCTCCTGGGCGGGAGGCGCACTGTCATCTGGTAGCCAAGTTGCACTCGAGCATTGCCAGTGCCCATTTTGAGGTACTCATGGGACCAAGATGACTACGAGATGCGACCAAGAGAATGGTGAGAGAGGAATTGAGATTCGACCCGCCAGTTCCCCCCCAAAAGAAAATCAAAAGTTGGCGATACTGGGAGCTAAAAGAGATTACCGACTGAACCTTGCTCTTCGAAGTGCTCTCGTAGGATTTGGGGACACCACCAGCGGGCCCACTGCAGAAGGCCAGGAACGCTCCAGCAAGAGGTCCACTCTGGCGGGCATCCAGCCAGCAAGCGTTGCCGGATCTAAAAATCGTTACACCGAGGGCCAGCATGGACTTGGAGACCTTGCGAACACGTGGTCAAGGCGTGCCATATGATGGCTGGCCGCATGTCCAGCACTTGCTAAGCACAAGAAGCCCTTGCTTGACGCTCCCTCCCTTGACTCTCGCCGACTGATCGCCGGCGAAAGACTGCTGCCAGTGTATAAAGGACTGCCGCTGACGTGCTGGATGCTGCGTGCGCCGAAGGATTGTTGAGTGCTGGCAGCCGACTTGCAAAGTGCGGGTTGCGTGCACGCTCGCTGAACTATGTGGGGAACGGAAAACTGTATCAACTACACGCCGCCGTGGTGAGACCATCAGCGACGCCTTCGAAGAAACACCAGGTCTTCGGACAAGAAGGAAGGAGTAAACGCTGACTGGCCCCCGACGGCGGCGTATCAGTGCGCGGCCTCAGTGGCCCCGAACCCTTCCCCGGGCCCAATGTCTGTCCCCAGATCCGTGTTTGCTGGTCCCGAGGCTCGAGAAACGGCTCCAGAATCCAAACTTGCAAAACTTGCAAAGAAGGTGCCCCGAAAAGCGCCCGGATTGCGAGAACAATTTATCTCGTCGGAGATCTGGGTCGTCGGCCGAAGCTCGTGCCAACTGCACGGCGGACGGTGGCCCGGAGGGCAAACATCATATTGCGGGATGCCCGCGGGGTTCCTGCTCCTCTGCTGGCAAAAGAGCCCACAACGGCTCTGCTGCGAGCGATTTGCCTACGAAGAACCAGCTACCTTAAGCTCGACAGGGGGGACCAGGGGACCCTGCGGATCAGGGAGGCGCCCTGCGAACTTGCGGAGTGACCTCAGCTGAAACTGGCAGGAGGAAGGAAGACTAGTCCCAGAAACTCGGGAACATCGCTCAACGGCCCCCTGAGCATGTAATCGTTTGAATAGAGGGAGCTGCGCTGCGGTGTGCAATGTCTTGGCAAATTTGTGCGAAATAGTGATGTCTCCACCTTGCTGCCACTTCCCAATGTGCGCGCATACTGAAAACGTTCGCAAAAAGGGAACGTCCCCTCGAACAACAAACAGATAGAAATTAGGGAAACGGCATGTGAACATGAAAGACATTTCGACTGACTGCTGGTCGCGCCAAGCAAGCTCCAATGTACAATTTCTGCTCTCATACCGTGGGCCTGGAATGCTTGGCTATCCTCCGGACCCCTCACAGGATCGCCAGGTGATGCACAACACCTGCTAGCCTTGAAGGCCCGAGCTTTTAGCGATGAGCTCTCCAAATGAACAAATCACGGCATCCTACGAGCCTCTCCGACTCATGCCCGCTGCCTCGTCACGATTTCTTACTGCACCAAATCCACGCTCCAGTCCCCCTCCAGTGCCACCTTCCCCCTAGTGATTGTTTTTCCCTACCATCCTGTGGTCTTGGGTCATCGTTTTGAAGAGACACGCCCAGCGTCTCCTTCCTTCCTCCTCCCCCTCCTCCCTCCTCCCTGCGCTTCCCCCGCCCAGTACAACGTCTCGTGGCCCCATAGGGAGCTCCACTGAAGGTCCCTGTGGCGGAACTCGCATGCGGTTCCTGCGCCCAGCACAGCGCTTCGTGGCCCCATAGGGAGCTCCACTGAAGGTCCCAGTGGCGGAACTCGCATGCGGTTCTTGCGCCTAACACAACGTTTCGTGGCCCCATTGGGAGCTCCACCGAAGGTCCCAGTGGCGGAACACGCACGCGGATCCTGCGCCCAGTGCTGCGCCTCGCGGCCCCATTGGGAGCTCCGCCGAAGGTCTCAGTTGCAGAACTCGCATGCGGATCCTACGCCCAGTGCAGCGCTTCGTGGCCCCATAGGGAGCTCAACCGAAGCTCCCAGTGGCGGAACTCGCATGCGGTTCCTGCGCCCAGTGCCCCATGAGGAGATCCCCCGACGGCGATACCCGAAACGACTGTACTCACAACTGTATATGATTGGGTCCTTCGCCAGAATAATGATTGCTGGGTCCGCTGGTCCCCGGTGGTAGATCCGCCGCTCTCTCGCAGAATACATACATGAGGCAACGGTGTTAGTCTTCCCTTGTTCCCCCATAAAGGATCCCCCTCTCCCGGGCCCCCACACCTGTTTAGCAATATCGTTCATCCTCCCCGAAACTTCATGAAATATGCGCTCCATCTTCCTGCACAGCAGCTGCTCTGAAGCTCTGAGCCCTGAATATTTGCCCGTCTTCATCGCTGCTCGTCTCGATCCTCCTCCTCTGGCCTTCGTGAACGAACAGCGACGGGGAATTGAAACCGAGGAGGGCCACCAAATCGATTCAAAGATAGCGTCGGCCCTCTTCGCCTCCAGCGGCGACCACCTTGAGGTTCTCCAGGAGCCTACTCGAAGCCCGCCGCTCGGGAGTCTCGTGAGACCCACTGACCACCAAGTCCCTCAAGCTATGTAGTCCCGTTGGGGCTGTTTGGATGGAATTTCGAACACCCAGAAGAGCGAGCCCTGAGAGACCCCACGAAACTCCAGATGGTCCAGGGAAGCCCCAAGATAAGCCCAAGAAACACCAATCTGTCCTCTTCCTCCTCCTCCTCCTCCTCGTCCTCCTCCTCCTCCTCCTCCCTTCCTCCTCTTCCGCCTCCTCCTCCTCCTTCTCCTCCTCCTCGTCCTCCTCCTCCCTTCCTCCTCCTCCTCCTGCTCCTCCCTTCCTCCTCCTCCTCCTCCTCCTCCTCCTCCTCCTCCTGATCATCCTCCTCCTCCTGCTCCTCCTCCTCCTCTTCCCCACCCTGTTCATGGCACTCGTGACATCTTCGTGCAAGACCCAGGCCACACGACACACGTGCCTTTTATTGTCGTTTCCGGGCTGCGGCCAGCAGTACATCCCAAAATTTCTTCAAAGAACACAGCAGGCAAACTGGGAACAACAAGCGCATTGGGAAACACAAAGGAACAACGCGACGCCTCTCCCCCCCGCACAAGCCCGCTGACAGACGAAGAGAGAGGACGGGTGCTGTCCGTGGTACCTAAACCCCAAGGCACACACGCGCCTCGCAGCGATCCTACACAACGTGGCGCTCACATGCCTACGCACACCACAGCGCCTGTGAAACACGGAAGCCTGTGTACACTGCGGGCCAGGTGTGCATCGCAGGACATCCAAACACCAAGCTAATACGAAAAGTCTCCGTCCACAGCACCAGTGTGTACGCACATAGACAGGCCTGTGCACACCACGCGTGCGTACCACATGCACATGCCTGCACACATTCCGAACACACGAGCACGGCACGGACCTGCTTACATCAAGGACATGGCCCTGTGCACATCACAAGCAACAAGTTGCACTCCACACGGGCCAGCTCACACCACCAGCGTGTTGGACACCACGTACCCGGGTCTGCGCACGCAGACGCACAGGGATTTGTTTAAAAGGGACGCCCTCACAGAACGGCACCCTGGGCCTGCGGCGCGAGGCGCGCAGGCGGCGGCGCGCAGTGGCGCCGCGCGGGAGAGCCGCTGCAGGCCCGCACAGCGGGCGCCATCTCCCCGAGCAAGTGTGCGGCGTCACCTGGGGCGGCGCAGCTCTCGCCACCCTCGAGGCAGTGCCGCCCTCCTCGCAAGGGCAGACCACCGAAACCACTCCCTGGGAGCGGAGGTGTGCGGCGTCAACTGGGACAGCCCAGCTCGCGCTATCCCCCAGGCCGCGCCTCCTGTAAAAGCAGGAAGACCACCGAAACCACTCCCTCCCTTGCTAGCGCGAGGGCCTAGTGCGGGAGCACCTGGTCCAGCATGCGTTGCAGCTCCTCGCGCAAGGCCTCCGAAGGGGAATGCACCCACCATGCGACACAGGGCGGCGTCGGCGTTGGCGCGCACGCGCTGGCACTCCTCGGGGGAGCGCAGCGCTGCGAGCCCACCCGCGGCGCCAGTCGCAGCGCCTCCAGAAGGACCGCCGCAGTCGCCGCCGCCGCCAGGTCGACCAGGGGGAGCGCCTTGGGAGCCGCCGCCGCCTCGGCAGGCGGGCCGAAGCCCGCGCCCGCCGCCGACGCCGCTCCAGGGGCTCCCATCGCAGCAGCAGCAGCAGCAGCAACAGCAGCAGCGGGCGCGGCCTCTGCAATGGGAGGGCCGAAACCCGCGTCCGCTGCTCCAGCCTCCGCCGCCGCCGCCGCCGGGCCCCTGGCCTTGCGCCGAGTGCGCCCTCCCCGCCTACGGGCGGGCTGGGCGCCAGCCAAGCCGTTGTCGTCGCCGAAGTCCAGGTCGTCGTCGGCGTCGCCGTGCACCCTCCCCCTCCAGGCGCCACGGCGGCCGCAGCCACCAACTGCGCCTGTCCAGGCGGCACGCCGAACCCGACTCCAGGGACCCCGCGATCGCGCTCCTGCGCGCGCCGAGCCGCGAGGCGCGCTCGGCGGCGGGGGCGCCGCTCGCGCTTCGCCGCCGTCGCCTCCCTGCGCCCCACCGCGTCGTCGTCGATGACATGACCTGTTCCACTGCTCCTCCAGCTCCGCCCGCGCCAACCCCCGCGGGCCGCGGGCGCGCGACAGCCGCAGCCGCCGTGGCCGCCGCCGCCCGCGTGACGGCGCGGAGGGAGCGCCGAGGAGCTCCTGCACGCTGCGCCGCGCCGACGGTCGCCTCCACGAGGCTGGCGGCGTGGGCAGCGCAGATGGCCCCCCTTAGGCGCACACCACAGGCCTGTCTACGCACACGCGCAGTTCTGCGCGCACCAGAGCCGCACGCTTGCGCACCAGGGGCTTGCACATAGCAAAAACGATTTGCGCACACTGCGAGCCGTGTGTACAGCGAGCGGCCTATGTGCACCACACGGCCTGCGCACACCGCCCTGCCCATGTACACCACATGCTTGTGCACAAACATGCACGCACTAGGCGGACGGGCCTGTGCTATATAACCTCAGGCTTGTGCACGCGCGCACAGGATCCTGTGAAACGTGCGCATCACAAGTACAGTACAGGGCCCTTACACATCACATAGGTATGCCCAGCCTGCTCACAGAGCCATGCAGATTCCCAGCGCGCCCTGACTAGCGATGGCTGGATCTACTGCAATTGGCAATTGAGCTGCCAGTGCGGGAAGACTCTGACCTCCCACGTTGCGATCGTTTCACCAGGCAGGCCCCTGGAGACTAGACCTTCCTCGAGACCGGCTTCCCAATCCGAGGAGAGTGTTGACGGCTCCGTGGCCCCCGGGGCCCCCAGAGCCAAAAATCGTCAGCCCTTGAATTCTCACGATTGTCCCTGTCCGCGGCGTACCTTTTCCTGTGCAAGCTATTCGGCACCGCCCGCACCCCGGGCTCCGCCCGCTCCGGCCGCCTGAGGCCCCGCCTTCCTGTGCCCTGTCTCCCTAGGTAAAGCTGTGCGTAGCCCGCCCAGCTTTTAGCGGACGAGGTTCGCTCTCGCCCCGCCGACCAAAAACTGTCTTCTCACGACGCGAGGATGTCGGGGGACCCCGCTGGATCTCCCAGGCGCCCCGGAGGCGCGCCCTCGTGAGCCCTCCAAGCCCTCCCTGGGCCCTCGCAGGCCCACTCGGCCCCCCCGAGCTCTCCTTCACTCCAGTCTCCACCCTCAGTGCCAACAGGCAGGAGAATGCCGCTGAGACCGCCAGCGCACTCATCCCTCCATCCCCCTCCCACTCCCTCGTGGGCGAGAGGGGGCTGGGGAGGGCGGGGGATTCCACTGGTGGGTGCAAACACGACCGCTTCCCGCAGCTCGAAGGGGGCCACCTCAGCTCCAGCAGTCGAGCCCGATCCATCGACGGACCTGGCGCAACTGGCCTCCGGAGGCCGAGCTGGGAAAAAACTATACACCCTGCGAAATGCTTAAGAAATCATGGATTAAGAAATTCATAGTCTCAGAACTTGAACAAAACACAAAATATTTCTATTAAAAGCTTAGGATTTACATTGAAACAATAAGAATAATCGAGACTCTGGCCGAAAACTTAAGTTTTCTTAAGCATCGCCTAAGGTGTACGTCATATCTTTCCGATACCGTTCCCACAACTCGACGGTGTGCCCCCCCCCCCTGGGGGAGGAAAAGCAATGCCAATGATACGCTCCCGTGGGGAACCCATCAGCGCGAGAGCATGGAAAAGCTGCCAGGCCCTCGGGCAAAAACTGAGAGAGATCAGACGCCGACGGGCTCCCTACGGCAGCGTGTCGTGGATACCCTTTCTCCCTCCCGATCCCCCCATCCTCATCTCCGCCCTCCTCCGCAGCTCGAAGCCGCAGCCTCCCTTTACGGGGTACCGGTGACTGCCCGAGGCACCACGATGCGCGCCGGCTTCTGCGGTTCCGGAGCAGCATCGATGCCGGCCTCTCGCGCACCGGGGGGCGCACGGGGCTGGACGGGCAGCTCTTGTCGTGCGAATAATAAACAAGCAGGCGGAATGATCAGGGCACCTGGACAACTTCACATGCTTACGTAGCAAGTCTGCAGTCAACAACGCACCGATCGGCCGCAAAACTCGGCGAACCGAGTACCAGGCTCCATGCACCGACTCCGTGGCCCATGCTCGTCATCCCCATCAACGTCACGCCTGCACCCTCTCTGAATTTGACCATCCCACGCCTCTGCCACAGCGGCGGAGGGGAGGGTATGGCAGGCAGGCGGGCTTTCTGGGCGGGGAGTGACGGACATGCAACTAGCCAGACACGCACGCCACTTGCGACGTCCATCGCCAACCGGGATGTGCAGCGCAGTGCTTTGTGCAGCCATCAGGGCGGTCAGCGCGCGCCTGCCGAACTTTTCCAGGACCAGGGGGCTCCGAAGCGGGCCAAGGAGACCCCGAGGAGCCTCCAGGAGAATCCAAGGAGAGGCCCGAGACGGCCCAAGAGCGCTTCAGATCGCCCAAGATGGGCCTCCTGGTCGAAGTCGCTAGCCTTCATCTTCTTCTTGAGGTGCTTGGCCTCCGTCATGCGGCTGTGTATGATCTCCTGGGGAGCGCCGCCACACTGCCAGACATCAGGGCGCGAGCTGACGCCGCCCCTGGCTTCTGGAGAGCACTGGGGCAAGGACTTCTCGGGGGCACCGAAGAGTCAAATGCGCTCAATGGTACGGGTCCCCAAAAGGTGCGGTGCCAGACCGTGGTGACCTCGAAAGCCCAAGAGACCTCACCGCACGGTCCATCACCGCACTGTTGTGGGACCCTGGAGGCCCCGATCACCCGAAAAGTCCGCGGAAAACGATCGAACTGTGCGGTCACCCCGACTCCCCCCTGACTCACCACACGGTGCGGTCACCGCACCGTTTGGGGGGCCCCAGCAAGCAGGAGGGGGACGGGGAAGAAGATGGGCCGCGCCTCCCACCCGGGACGCACGCTTCGTGGCCCTGACGTTTGGCGCTCTGGCCCGAGCGCCTGCGCCTGGGGGGGAAACCTCTCTCCTGGTCCTGCGCAGGCTCTCGGGTCCACCGGGAGGGGAGGCTCAGGACAGAGCGAGGGGCGGAGGAGGACAGCACTGGGGAATGGGGAGCACGGGGAAGGGGAGGGACCGTGGGAGACTGGGGGCCCGATGTGTACACCACGCCGATTGGTCGGCCAGGGAGCCAGGTGCACAGAGACCCCAGCTGCCCAGCCTGTGGGACGCTGGGGCGTCTGTACACCGAGCTCCTTCGCCAAAGCCTTTGGCTCCCTGGCCGACCAAACCACGTGGCGTATAAGACCCTCCGAGAGACGGGAGGAGCCTGTCTTTTTATGTTCCGCGCTAGCGGCCGTCAGCGGCCCCGCGCCTCCCCCCCAAGTTACGCCACGTTTCGCGCCGGCGGGTCCAGGAATGCGTCGGGATGACCGAGGCAAAATAGGAGCAACATGTCGGTGGCGATCTGCACCACCGCGCCTGTGTACACCACAGTGCTCGCGTGCACCACAGCGCGCGTGTACGCCATAGCGTCTGCGTGCACCGCAAAAACCGTGTGCAACGCAGCGCCTGTGTACACCACCCTGCTTGCGTGCACGCGCCTGTGTACACCACAGCGAGTGTGTACACCGCAGCAGCCGTCTGCAACACAGCGCCTGTGTACACCACAATGCTTGCGTGCACCACACCGTCTTTTCCTGTTCCCAACTATCCTGTGGTTTTGGGTCCTCGTTTTGAAGAGACAGCGCCCCGCGTCACTCCACTCCTCTCCTCCTCCCCCTCCTCCCTCCTCCCTGCGTTTCACCCACCCAGTACAACGCTTTGTGGCCCCATCGGGAGCTCCACCGAAGGTCCCAGTGGCGCAGCCCGCATGTGTCACGCACACCCATTGCGGCACACCCCTCACGCGCTTCGTGGCCCCGTAGGGACCTCCACCGAAGGTCCCAGTGGCGCAGCCCGCATGCGTCACGCACACCCATTGCGGCACACCCCTCACGCGCTTCGTGGCCCCATAGGAAGCTCCACCGAAGGTCCCAATGGCGCAGCCCGCATGCGTCACGCACACCCGTTTCGGCACACCCGTCACACGCTTCGTGCCCCCCAAGGGAGACCCCCTCACACGTTTCGTGGCCCCATAGGAAACTCCAAAGAAGGTCCCAGTGCCGCCGACCGCATGCGTCCGCCACACCAGTTTCGGCACACCCCTCACACTCTTCGTGGCCCCATGAGGAGCTCCACGGAAGGCCCCACCGCCCGCATGCGTCCGCCACAGCCATGTTGGCGCATGCCACACACGTTTCGTGGCCCCATAGGGAGCTCCACCGAATGCCACAGTGCCTCCGACCGCATGCGTCCGCCACACCAGTTTCGGCACAACATTCACACGTATCGTGGCCCCATACGGAGCTCCACCGAATGCCCCATCCACCGCCCACATGCGTCCGCCTTACAGATTTCGGCACGCCCCTCACACGTTTCGCGGCTCCACACGGAGCTCCACTGAATACTGTATTCACAACTGCGGTTCGCACAATTGCATTTGGTTGGGTCCTTCGCCAGGCTAATTTTCAAAGGGGGTGCTGAGAATGGAACGCGATATCCTTCCCTCCTCATTCTTCCTCCTCCTTGTCCTCATCCTCCTTCTCCTCCTCCTCCTGCTCCTCCTCTGTCGCAGTTGCCCCCGTCGTGCGGGTCGGCGTTAAGGCGCACGTGCGAATTTCAGTGTTCATCCCGAACCAATGGCCCGTTGAATCAATTCACTTGGTTCTCGGACGGCCCATTCTTCGAGATCCTTCTGGACGCAGATGGGAGAACTTGGGATGAGGCGGGAGGACTCGGGAGAACTCGTGGATTCCAAAGGCGCTCGTTTTCCCAGAATGACTGCTTTCCAAATCCTACAAAAATTACCCTGTGACGTACCCAACCCATTTGTATCAATGGAAACGAATAGTTGGCCGAAACTTGCATGGACAATCAACTTGATGTGCAAGCTACTTGGGACACGCGCCTATGGCACGATGCGCAGGATAACCATACAAGAACGAGGGGCGACAACTACAGGCTCGAAGATAACATGGGGAGTCGGGAACGCAGAGCAGGAGAAACACGTGCGGGAAGCCGAACCATCAGCACGGCAGCATCAGAGGAAAGGTGACTTCAGGAGGAGAACAAGGACGACAGCGGCGTCTAATTTGAGTCTGCACTGTGCTGTGCCCCTCAGCAGCCCTCGAAAGTGGCGACAGTTTCGCAGATCGCAGCCCCCCAGGGATGGCGATGTCTAATTTGAGTCTGCGGTGGGTACCCACTGTGCTGGCCCCTCAGCAGCCCTCGAAAGTGGCGACAGTTTCACAGATCGCAGCCCCCCACGGCTGGCGAGGTCTAATTTGAGTCTGCGGTGGGTACCCACTGTGCTGGGCCACTCAGCAGCCCTCGAAAGTGGCGACAGTTTCACAGATCGCAGCCCCCCAGGGATGGCGAGGTCTAATTTGAGTCTGCGGTGGGTACCCACTGTGCTGGGCCCCTCAGCAGCCCTCGAAAGTGGCGACAGTTTCACAGATCGCAGCCCCCCAGGGATGGCGAGGTCTAATTTGAGTCTGCGGTGGGTACCCACTGTGCTGGGCCCCTCAGCAGCCCTCGAAAGTGGCGACAGTTTCACAGATCGCAGCCCCCCAGGGATGGCGAGGTTTGAGTCTGCGGTGGGTACCCACTGTGCTGGGCCCCTCAGCAGCCCTCGACAGTGGCGACAGTTTCACAGATCGCAGCCCCCCAGGGATGGCGAGGTCTAATTTGAGTCTGCGGTGGGTACCCACTGTGCTGGGCCCCCCAGCAGCCCTCGAAAGTGGCGACAGTTTCACAGATCGCAGCCCCCCAGGGATGGCGAGGTCTAATTTGAGTCTGCGGTGGGTACCCAATGAAAGTGGCGACAGTTTCACAGATCGCAGCCCCCCAGGGATGGCGAGGTCTAATTTGAGTCTGCGGTGGGTACCCACTGTGCTGGGCCCCCCAGCAGGCCTCGAAAGTGGCGACAGTTTCACAGATCGCAGCCCCCCAGGGATGGCGAGGTCTAATTTGAGTCTGCGGTGGGTACCCACTGTGCTGGGCCCCCAGCAGGCCCTCGAAAGTGGCGACAGTTTCACAGATCGCAGCCCCCCAGGGATGGCGAGGTCTAATTTGAGTCTGCCGCGGGTACCCACTGTGCTGGGCCCCCCAGCAGCCCTCGAAAGTGGCGACAGTTTCACAGATCGCAGCCCCCAGCAGCCCTCGAAAGTGGCACAGGGACGACCAGGTAGGAGGCAGGGGGGAAGAGAGGGACGGGAGGGGGTGGGAAGGAAACGGTGGGAAGGAGACGCGGTGGGAAGGAGACGCGCGAGCAATGCTCTATTCAAGACGAGGACCCAACGCAGGAGGGTTGGGAATAAATGTTCTGAGGGATACACACGCGATCCATTTTGTCATAAGGGTTCCTTCTAAATTCTACATACAACAATAGTGTTATGTTGCACACGCTTGCTGTGGTGCACACAGGCACCGTGGTGTACACAAGCGCTGTGGTGCACGAGCGCGCTGCGGTGTACACTGGGGTTGTGTTGCACGCGGCTGCTGTAGTGTTCGCGCACGCTGAGGTGTACACAAGCGCTGGGGTGCACGCAAGCACTGTGGTGCACACTTGCGCTGTGGTGGACGTGGCTGCTGAGCTGCTGTGGTGTACATATGTTCCGTGGTGTACACAGTCGCCGCGGTGCACGCCATCACTATGGTTCACACAAGCGCCGTGGTGCAGATCGCCACCTACATGCTGTTCCTACCCGCCCTCGGTCATTCCTAAATATTTCTAGACGCCGCCGGCGCGAAAGGTGACGTCACTCCCCCCCCGCTAGGGCTGGAGGTTGGACAGGGGAAGCCACCACATAAAATCCGCGCGGACCTCCAAATCCGTGCGGACGTGCCAAAGTGCGCAGATGTGTTTGTGCACATACGCGTGTGTATACATGCGTGTGCGTACAAACATACAGGCCGGTCGGAAGAAGTGGGTCAAACATTGCCCTGGCGAAGGACCCAACCATATGCAGTCGTGAGTACCGCAAATCTGAATATCGTTTTCGGTGGCGCTACTTCTGGGTAGGGGAACCGCATGCGGACACCCCCACTGGGGCCTACGGTGGAGCTCCATCTGGGGCCACGAAGCGCTGCCCTGGGTGGGGGAACCGCATGCGGACACCCCCCACTGGGGCCTACGGTGGAGCTCCCTATGGGAACACGAAAGCTGCCCTCGGTGGGGGAACCGCATGCGGACACCCCCACTGGGGCCTACGGTGGAGCTCCCTATGGGGCCACGAAGCGCTGCCCTGGGTGGAGGAACCGCATGCGGAACCCCCCACTGGGGCCTACGGTGGAGCTCCCTATGGGGCCACGAAGCGCTGCCCTGGGTGGGGGAACCGCATGCGGACACCCCCACTGGGGCCTTCGGTGGAGCTCCCTATGGGGCTACGAAGCGTGTGAGAGGTGTGCCGAGAGCAGAGGCAAGGAGGGGGAGGATGGGGGGAGGGGTAGGAGGGCGGGAAGGAAGGAAGGACGAACGC